GTCGACTTCGTTGCTGATTCATCTTTGCCCGCGGAGCCACGCCGTCTACTGCCATAAAGAAAAGTTTCTTTGGCTTTATCTTACCAAATAACAGGTCCACGTATGCAAATATTGCGGTGAATATTTGCTCTTCGGACACCCTAAAGTGCGCATCTTCATCATTTGGATGCGAGCCTAAAATGAAAGTTGAACACGCCAGTCTACGCTGCATCTCAAATAATTAATCACAGTTGTGAATGATTCCATTGAAGTCGAGATATAGATTATCTATTTGAAGGCTTCAGCGCGAGAACACAGAGTCGGTACGATAGCTCACCAAATTCTGGAATCTTATTCTCCTCGATCAACTGGGAGGTAAGTGGGTACCGTTCACTGCCGATAAATCAGCTTCTATGGTCAAATAACAGACTCCTGGCTCACGAAATATAACGGAAAAACTGCAGCACGACATTTAGCTCCCCTACGTATGATCTCACAAATAAAGGAAGCGCGAACCTTGGGGATTCCTATAAATCGGAAAAGTGTGAGCATGCTTATAGAAATCTTAGCAAATAGACATACCCATAGCAAAGAAGGGAAGTGTACACTGGATACTGAGAATAAGTTGGAGGATCGTTGAGATGAGGAAGCTTCTTACATAAGCACCGCTAGTACGTATACTTTTGTTGAACTTTATCATCGTATCAAACTTACCACTGACCGTGTGTCACGGCTGACATGTACTAGCCTATCATAGTACCACGTACGTGCGACACTTGTCGAGGGCTCAGAGCGCTCAAATCTCCCGTTTTTCACTCAGCCACGCAGGGTCAATTGCGATCATTAATGACGCTCCTTGAAGGTTTCTTGCGACGCTTCTCGTCAGACCGTCTGAGTCGGTCAATCCGGATCTCCTAGTCACTGAGTACTTCTAGGGCCTTCAATAGCGCCCGGACAAGTTATCCACCAGTGCCAACCTCCATTCTCTCCTTTCTAAGAGACATAGGTGCTGCGGTCACACAGTGATTAATCCCAGTCCTCTTACAAACCCAGACACTTCAGCCAGAGCGACTTCGACAGCCTCAGCATAGCTGTCGTAGCCTCCATAGATTCAATTCTGGGGCTTGCAGCGTGCAAATGAATCTAGCACCAGCAGCCTTGGACCCTTGTTAATAATAATACATTTCGCTAACAATCTTGGTGACTTCATTTCTCCTTAACGATGAAGTCCGTCCCTCTTTTCTTTCTCCTTACTCTTTTTCCTAAGTGTCACAAGCTCATATCACGGTCTAGACCCGATTCCCAGTTGGGATTCAACCGAACGCTTCGCTTATCCTTGCAGTTCATGGCGGATTTGGTAAGACTTCTTGCGTGCCGCTTGTCCCTATTTAGGGTGACTATGCGCCACGAAGCGTGCTACCTTCGCTATCTTTCGGCGGACCAAGCAACTCTGGCGCAAACCGATATCGCAAAGTACCACACCGGACATGTCGAATTTTGGTGAGCATGAGCCTCCCCGCTCGTAAATGCCTTTTCTAGTCTCATGCTTGAAATTATCGTCCTATGAAAATATCAGCCTCACTAGGCTATTGTCAAAAGTGTGCTATCTAGGAGAAACCGCAGCGATAAAGGTGTACCGCAGCGATAAAGGTGTACCGCCGCTCCTTTGCCATTAAAAGGAAAACACGCGTTTTACATGCGTCCTGAATGTCGTGAACCGAATCACCTGTAATGACGGATTGACATCAAACCTTATGGTTTCAATGTCCAATCGAGATAGTATAACACATTCAACCGCGTCGCCACTGCTGTTCCTACTCGTTCCGAACTTTACTCAAACTTCTCACAGGAAGACCCTCTTTCCTGTCCAAGCCATGTTATATTGTCAATTCCCTGTGTTGGTCTTGGCATTCAAAAATTCGAAAATCGCATAAAAAATGCTATCTGCTTTGAACACCCCAAGCGAGAACGGATCCTCAACGCGATTCTGGTTGGAGTCGTAAATAGGTATGTATACTGAAACTGACAGTTCCTACGATGAGTTATGCACTTAATATCATGGTTGTGCTTTTTTGAGCTTTCTGAATCAGCGGAGATGCTCGGACGCCTTTTCCTTTGGGTGCCACGCTGCTCGAGTGCGGAGAGGGTGCTCAGGCGCTTGTCTGTGGGATAAGTCTATTTAATTGGACATTTGTATTTTAAAATGAGAGGGGTGCAGCTGTTTACAGTCTCAAATCCAATACGGAATCGCGTGAAGCACCTCCAGAGGCACTTCGATGATTCACATCGCAAACTAGGAATGATCTGATTACGAGGTTAGCCTAGCCTAGCCCACCAAGCTTCAAATACCAACTATTCCTTGATCATTCTTCCTTGAGCCACCTGTCTGGATTCCATCTACGTATATTCGAACTATTCAAACATGAATCGTACACTTCTTGGCAAATGTTTGAGAGGATACCCCAAATGCGCGTGTAGAGATGATTCCAAAACAACTATGTTACGGTGACACCGTATTTGCCAGAAATGCGAAGTTTCCCACGGGTGCTTAATTTTTATTACTTCAAGTTTCAACTCAGATCATCAAACTTATCAGCAAAAGATCTCGACGGTCTTCCTCGACAGAGTCACAGAGATCGTGCCATTCTCCGTCAAGTCCACCTTGAGAGTCCTCAATCATAAAGCATGGCCGAAATACACGATCAGTTCGATACTATCCTTATTCTTGACTTCGGTTCACAGGTTCGGGATCTGTGTTTTAACTCAAATCGTCTCGTGTATTGACCATTAGTGTCGGTTTAGTACAGTCACCTCATAACAAGGAGATGTCGCGAATTGAACGTATACGCAGAGCTTATGCCTTGTACATCAAAGCTAGCAGATCTCAAATTTAAGCCCAAAGGTTCGCTCATGTGATGGAGCGGGAAATACGTTTCTGACGCAAAATTCCAGGGATCATTCTCTCCGGATCTCCATACTCTGTGTACGACGATGATGCACCTCACGCGGACCCTGGTATCTACACTCTGGGTGTCCCTATCCTTGGTATCTGCTATGGCCTCCAGGTCTAGTTTTCTCGAGCATCTCGATGGACAGTAACTCACGCGAGATCCAGGAGATCTGCTGGAATCACAATGGACAGGTAGCAAAATGCGATCATCGCGAATATGGGCTTGCAGAAGTTCAGATTAGCAGGTCCAGTGAATCGGGAAACTCTGTTGATGCCCTTTTTGAAGGACTCGGCGATCAGATGCAGGTGCGTGTTTTTGTTTCGTCTGTCGAAAGCCAAGTTGACTTTTGATAAGGTCTGGATGTCACACGGCGATCAACTGTCTGTTATGCCTCCCGACTTCCATGTTATCGGACGGACGAGCACCGCTCCCTATGCTGCCATAGCACATAACTCCAAGTCACTCTATGGCATTCAGTTCCATCCAGAGGTAACACATTCCCCGCAAGGAAGGCAGCTCATTGGTCGATTTGTGCTGAATATATGCCAATGCCGACCGAACTGGACAATGGTGAAGTAATTACTATGTTGCATTCATTGTCATGCTCATGGCGATTGCAGGAGGAATTTATTGGCAAGGAAATCGTCCGCATCCGCGAGATATGTGGTCCGAAAGGCCGTGTGATTGGCGCAGTCAGCGGAGGCGTTGACAGCACTGTTGCAGCCAAGTTAATGCACGAGGCAATCGGCGACAGGTGCGCCCCACATTATTTTCATAACTTATGTCTTACTCGCGCATCAGATTCCACGCCATCATGGTGGACAACGGCGTGCTTCGTCTCAACGAAGCACAACAAGTCAACGACATGTTGAATAAAGATCTGGGCGTCAACCTGACCGTAGTGGATGCTTCTGAGCTCTTCCTCTCCCGACTTGATGGTGTCGAGGATCCGGAACAGAAACGTAAGATTATCGGCAATACGTTCATCAACGTCTTCGAGACAGAAGCGGCGAGGATCGAGGAAGCTGCCGAGAAGGAAGAGAACGGAGCGCAGGCAAAGGGGAAGATTGAATGGCTGTTGCAAGGAACCTTATATCCAGATGTCATCGAGAGCATCAGCTTTAAGGGCCCTAGTGCGACCATAAAGACACATCACAATGTTGGTGGGCTTCTCAAGGACATGAAATTGAAGTTAATCGAACCCCTACGCGAGCTCTTCAAAGGTCTGGTTAATGGAATACTATATTACCTATTGCACTGACCGTTCTATGTAGATGAAGTCCGTGCACTTGGAAGACTCCTGTCGATACCAGCGCCTTTGGTTCAACGTCATCCTTTCCCAGGTCCTGGTCTGGCTATTAGGATTTTGGGCCCTGTCACACGCGAACAAGTAAAGATCCTGCAACAAGCGGATCATATCTATATCGAGGAGATTCGCAAGGCGAATCTCTATAATCAAATCAGCCAGGCCATGGCCATCTTGCTTCCTGTGAAAGCCGTCGGCGTGATGGGTGACAAGCGCACATATGAACAGGTTTGCAGGACGATATTCTCTTTTGTTTGCTGCCCTAACATATTTCACAGGTAATTGCCCTGAGGGCGGTGACGTCGGAAGACTTCATGACTGCGGACTGGTAGGCTTTGTCTTGCTTGTTTGTCCTGCTCAATGCTAACTTGATTTTTCAGGTATGCGTTCCCTCCCGAAGTCTTACGTCGGATATCGTCTCGCATCACGAACGAAGTGAATGGGATCAATCGTGTCACTTATGATATATCTTCCAAGCCTCCTGCTGTAAGTCCTGTCGCTTCGTCTCACCAGAGTCAAGGTTGATTTCATTTTTTAGACTGTGGAGTGGCTATGATTGCTGACGACACGATGTATGCAAAACAATAACATAGAAATTGATAGAATACATGATGGGGTTTATTTAGGAATAAATTTGCGAATATATGGAGGGTAGTACATGCTAGAAAAGTCTACATTCACTAATCGGTAAGTAGTACTAGTGTAGAGCCACCAGTTTATAAACATTGTCTGTTTACCTTTGTTGCGGCCGCGGGGATATACAACTAGACTCGTGAACATACAACTTGGAACACCCATCATGGGCCGGTGACCCACAACTTGAACTTCTTTCGTATGATAATTATAACCACCACAAGGTTGGTAGGCCATCTAAGCTTTTGAATATTTCGCAGACAGTCAATTTGGTATAGCCCAACAGCTTTCTCCGTCTTCATCAGCGTCCAACGACTTTATCATGAGCTCTCGTCCACACACCGCGGTTGTCGCCAACGCGAAGATTTTCCCGGTCTTTGCAAACAGGCTCGCATCACAAGACGTCAACGAGTATATAAATACTGCCAATAAGCTGAAGAACTGGCTGGGTTCCGAGAAAGCGTACTATCCCGACGCTCTACGTAATGTAAGTGTTAAAATCCTGAATCGGCTCGACAGAAGCGAGACTCAATAACTACTTTTGACCCCTAACGTTAGATCGTTTTGCTCCTCGAGGTATGTAGATGCATCGCTCCTTGCTCTATTTGTTCATCTTGTATTTGACAGATTGCCCATCAGACCTTTACGAAAAGATTTCTTCAAACGGCATCGTCAGCAGCTGTGATTGACATATATAAGGCCTTAATTCACGCCGTGATTCCTTTCTTGAAGTTTTTCACTGAGGAGGACCTGCAACGTACGTGTTGAATCTTGCCAAGTGTCCGACTGTGTCAAATATGTCATGTAGTCCGACTCCAAGACTTGATTCAAAGTTCTTATGAGGTTTCGACTAAAATTGTATATCCTCTCCGGGCTGAAGGTGAAGCCACAGCTCAAGAATACAAGTACGCAGGCATTCATTAAAGCTGAGCATCAGTGTCATGATCTTGTTTAGGGACGCTACCTCAGCAATCACAACTGCCCACGATACAACTCCAAGCGCGCAACTTATGTTTCCTAATGCTGCACAAGTGGAGTCAGTTCAATCACCTGTAAGGTGTGCATGCGCTATTTATTTATGATCTGACATATAAATCATAGACTACAACGCATATTTCGACTACGTCTATGCCCTGCTCAGATATTCGCATGGACCCCCCCGACCAGTGCCTCCGTCCCAAGAACCCTTCCAAAACCGCAGCCAAAGCGCCAATCTGTGGCATCTTCACTATCTGAGCACCTCAAAAAACGTGACCTCGAATGGTACAAGTCGCAGCATCCGCCTGCGGCTAGTCCTGATTCAAAGCCTTCAAGTCCCGCTGCTCCACCCGGTGCGGTCAAGTTTTCGAATGATGTGACGGAGCCACCTGCAGAGAAAATACGGCCATCTCGCATGCCAGGGAGGATACCTCCACAACCGGCATCCGGTGAACTGACGACAGCAAACGAGCCTGCAGGTCCTGAGAATGCCGTTGAGCTGACGAGTACCTCGCCTTCCACCGAGATTTCAGTGCCTACAGATGCCAAAGGACTCGACGAAAAAGAAATCATATCTGCTATAGCTGATATTGTTATGGACGACCCACAAACGGAAAATGTGCCTCAAGGTTCAGAAACACTCCTCTTGGGTACGCCAGGAAACATCGTCGCTGAGCTCACTACGCCGTCGCCGTCGCCAAATACAGATTCCTCAGCTGCAGAGCAGCCACCTGCGATATCCTCAGATGTGGACGTAGGAAGCCATGGAGACGAAATATCGTTGCCTCCGGTAGATAATGATCGTCCGCAAGTCGCTTGTGCGAGATTTGGAGGGGAGATGGCTGTGATGATGTTTCGTGAAGGACTTGAGTCACCTCGCGGGACGATCAACCTTACTTTCGATCTTGATCATACACTCTATCTCCAAATTGCTCGGTGGGCTAAGCGCAAGTCGTCACCAACGTATGTGTTATTTTCTTACCTTTAACCAGATATTCAGCGGTTCACAGAGATTTGGAACAAAGTGTTTGTGTGTCGTTCGCTTGCTATCATCTCCCTAGTCTTTTGCCCAATCCACCAGAAGATGATCAACCGCCTTCGTTTGAGAAACTCACGATGGATTCACAATGCTCATGGCCTACATCTGGGGACCTTTCACTACAGACAAAGCGGGATGGGAAGGATTTCATTATTCCACTAGCTCCACCCATTTTCGTGAGTGTTATTGTAAAACTTGAAAAACACACTGAAGTCGAAATAACCGTTTGGCAGGTTACTCCAGACAATTGTGTTGACATCTCCGCATTTATCCAAAGCGGAAAAAATGCCTTTTCGGTGGTCCAACAGAGCGATATGTCAGACTACATGTTTATTCTCCACGCCCACCATCCCACACCTGTGCAACTTAGCAATCTTGCTTCCTGCAGACGGAGGCGTGAGGAGTGGGTGAAAACCACGCGCGCTTTTTGCACGTCCGAACCGAAGGAATCGGTATGGATGCGATCGTAGTCGCAGTCATGATTCATGAAGGGTTCGTCATAATTAGTATTCTTGTAATCAACCGTCGAGCTTTGCAGTTCCGTTATGTATGTAGTACTTGTGCATTTCTGATCAGCATATATTCTGTAGCATAGACAACCAATGAAATCCGGTTTCTCGACATAGCGCTACGAGGCATGATAGATCGACTTGGTGAGTGACTCACGATTTGTCTTTTTGGAGGGATTCTTATCAATAGGCCGCGGCCGCTACATACTTATATAGCAGGTCGATGTAGGCCACTGTCAAGATGCGTACTATGTCCCCGACTGTCAACAATACTAGTCACTTGTTCTTATGTATCCCGGTGCCTGGATCCTGTCATCGTGTGCACGGTCTCTGTTCCGCCTGCTCTCACATCGATATCATTACTGCACGGCTCGCGCATAGGCGTGCTCAATTCTTACGATGTCAAGTTCAAGGTGCGTCAAGTCCTACCGTGCCTTAAGCCAAACAACATAGCCGACCGGCAAGACTAGGCGAGACTCCATTTGGGTTGCCGAAGCCACCGAAGCGAACACACCGACGAACTTCAAAGTTTATGTTTGAACATAGAAACTTCACTGTAGTCCACTGACCAGTGATGAGTTATCCCGCACGGAACATAGTATACAACACTATTAATTCTTCACATGGCATCTATAATGTTTCACAAGACGTCAACGGTGCTCAGCAGAGGACTTATAATAACGCTCCAGGTCATGTTCCACAACAGTACAACATGCCATATGCCAGTCACAACCACCAGCGGATGGCTGCTGTGCATGATGGACTCGGACAAGCACAAGGCCAGAGGCCAGACCCTCATGCACAACATTTCTGGTTTGACCCATGGTATAACTTTTTTTAACCATAATTGCAGTGATGGCGACTCAAAACTCACTTCTATAGCTTGGGTACTTGGGTACCAAGAGACTCAGGCCACCACCAGCGGTCTTAACAACAGGTCCCGGCTCAGCAACAGTATCAGAATCTGCAAACTCCGGTAAGAGTTTATCAAACATCTTCTTACCGAGGTCCTAACAAGGTGAAGATATCTCGTAATCCAATAGGTGTTGCTCGACCTACCGGAGTAGTCCAAAATTGGACATCACCACAGCCAGACATCATCAGTGAGCAAAGGAAGTGTGGCCATGACAGCACTGAGGACATGCCACCCAGGGAAGCCCAGAATGCTGAGAAGAAACATCAGATGATGAACAACGCTACTGATGACACTGAGGACATGCCATCGGTGCCTCAGAGCACTGAGAAAAAGCCTCGTAAGACCAAAAAGGCTCCTCGGATGGCTTCGGTCAAGCAGTCAAAATAGACAGCAGCCAAGGTACAGGTAGCTGAAGATGGCAAGAAGGCACTAGAGGAGCTAGAAGATTCAGTCAATTGGACTAACAATGAGACAAGGATATTACTTGATGCACTCCTGGGTCCTGATAGTGAGCTCTACAAGGAGCTGCGCACAAATGCAAAATATGCCTACAGAAAGGTAAGTGTGAAGTTCGAAAGACATTTGTTAGCACTAACGAAACTGTTGTAGGTGTCCCAACAGAAGTTCAATGGCAAACGAAGTCTAGAATCAGTCAGAAGCAGATATGAGCGGCTACGGAAGATATTCACATACATATTAGCTTTCGAGTCTATGACTGGCAATGGCGAGGGTGATCCTGATGTTAAGGAGCTTGATGAACAGATTAAGAATGCAAGAGTAGTGGGGAAAGATGTAGGAAGCCTATCTGGGACCATGCTGAAACGGTGGTATACTGAGGGCTGGTATGAGCTATTCAACAATCGGTGAGTATGAAAAATTAATGCTGTTGCGTGATATACAGTGGCTCAAAAAACCGTCCGTATGTTTTGGCATTTTTCACTATCTATAATATTGTGTGAGAACAAACAATGCCTCAAAAACATGCTTATACCACATTGTAGTATGGCTTCAGGGCTTTCATTTGAGCCCTACACCGTGGGAATCGGTGGAGATATGGTGGAGATACAAGGCTCACAAAATGGTGACTCATGCGGACAGTTTTTTGACTCAAGTATTTTACAGTAATAACCAGGTATTCTAGTATTTTGTATGACCTCCCTTGGCTTTAATTACTGCCTCTATCCTTCTAGGCATACTCTCAATTAATTTCTGGCAATCCTCAGCTGTGATCTTCCCCCATTCCACTGCTACTCTCTCCCAAAGCTCCCATACTCCTTTAGGGGGGTTTTCATAGGCTTGAAGCTTTTTCTTGAGTGTTCCCCAGAGATGTTCAATGACATTGACATCAGGAGACTGTGCTGGCCAGTCAAGAACATTGATGTTATGTTCTTCAAACCATTCCCTAGCTCTTCTGGATGTGTGCTTGGGATCATTATCCTGTTGGAAAATGATATCTTCTTCATCAATCCCTGATTCTGCCAAGCTAGGCAGCAAGTGGTCATTTAAAATGTCCACATACTGCTCAGCATTCATCTTCCCCTCAACCTCAGCAAGCATTCCCACACCATTCCATCCCATACAGCCCCATACCATTAAAGAACCTCCTCCAAACTTGACAGTCCCATTAACCTCTCTGTCTGTTAGGCCATCTCCCTTCTTTTTCCATACATACACCTTCCCATCTGACCCAATCCTATTGATTTTGGTCTCATCTGACCATATAACATGCTTCCAGTCCTCTACAGTCCAGTGTTGATGAGCTAAGGCAAAGGCTAGTCTTCTCTGCCTATGTTTGATGGAGAGAAGAGGCTTTTTCTTCTTTGTTACTGCCTTGAGATGAGCTGCCTTGAGAACATTCCTCACAGTTTGTGAAGAGACAGGGGTAGTGATGGTGGAATTGATATAATGGGTGGCTTGGACAGCATTATCAGCCTTTCCTGTAGTGATATGTTGGATAATAGCCCTTTTGTCAGTAGAGGTAAGCTTGGATGGACGTCCTCCACAAGAGTTTTCCTTGTCTGGGTGGCTTTCTTTGATGAACTTGGCCACAGTGGACTTGCATATTCCAGTTCTAGAGGAAATTTGGCGAGCAGAGAGGCCAGCATAAGACAGAGAGAGGATATTATCTCTTTGAGCAGAGGAGATGGCTTTCATGGTGATTATGACTATGATACATGAGATATTCTGGTTTATATAGTTAGATATAGTCATAAAATAACATAATGACACCACTTTATAATTTATATAATAGTGGCATGATTTTTATGGTGTCATAAATAATGATTTATATAGTTTTAATATACACTCAAAAAACTGTCCACATGAGTCATCATTTTATAAGCCTTATATCTCCACCATATCTCCGCCGATTCCCACGGTGTAGGGCTCAAATAAAAGCCCTGAAGCCATACTACAATGTGGTATAAGTATGTCCTTGAGGAATTTGTTCATTCTCACACAATATCATAGATAGTGAAAAATGTCAAAACATGCGGACAGTTTTTTGAGCCACTGTATCTCACCTATAATCAAGCCTTGGCGAGCACCCAGAACTGGTGTGGGAGCATGACTTTCACTCGGGCACCATTTTAGACACAATCGAGATTAGCAATGATGAAGGGGCTAACAGCGAAGGCTTTGAGAGCGTTGACACTGATGAAAAGCCAGCAAGGAGAAGTACTGCAAAGAGAGGCACAGCATCTGCAAAGACACAAGGAAAGTCACTGACCTCAAAAGGTGTTCCTGCACCACGCCACAAACAGCAGTCATCTCACACAGGCATGGGAAGCGAGCTCGCAGAATATCTCACATCAAATGCTGAGTACATGTGGTATATGATGAAAAGTGATCATGAACGCTTGAAGATTCAGCAAAAACATGAAAATCGACAGGATGAGAAGCAAGTAGAAGATGTGAGAGCGGCACAGGTTGAAGCTAGGGTCAGGAATGCAAGGGAAGTTCTGGCAGATGAGATGATGCCAGATGACATGAAAGAGGTAGCTTGAAAGGTACTAATGGACTACTTTACTAACAATCAGTGACGGTTAATCTAGAGGAAATAGATCATTCATTATCAGTAAACGACGATGGTGCCCAGCTTCTCGAAGCCACTCATCAGTCTCATAAGCAGGCAGCTCTACCCGACCATCCGGAATCACACCATCGAAGTGCAGAACATCTGCATCATGAGGTGCACCCTCCTCTGAGTTGTCCTGGTCCGGATCAGAAGGATCAAAGAACGGGATCTGCTCTGGGCAGTCTCCCAAGTCAATACACAAGTTCTGGAGGGTGAAGAGTGCCTGCATCAAATGGTAAGTGTCCTGGATGTTCTGCTCCGGTGGTAAATCCTTCAGTGACGGGAAGCGGCCCTTAAGGGCACCAAATGCGTGCTCGACAGTGATTCGAATTGATGACAGACGCTGGTTGAACTTGCGGCGATGAGACTTTTCTGGTAGGGGCTTGCTCCTGATCTCAGGTTCTGTGAAGGGCTGTAATACATACAGAGATGATGGATAACCTATCTAATGGTCAGGATATCGAAAATGCAGGACATGACAACACATACCTTTATCAGCCAAGACTTGGCCGTTGTTCAGAAAATAGTCTCGCTGGTGACACCACACATGCGACTTTTTCCACATTGTGACATCGGACACAGAGCCAGGCCAGCCAAGATCCACAGAGATGAACTGCATCTTGTGGTCAACAATAGCTTGAACATTGATCTAGAAAAGTTGGGTTAGGCTCAGCGCATGTAGATCTGATAACTTACCGCAGGAAATTTTTGTGACAGATGAAACTGAAGCCGTTCTCATCAGGCATCTGTGTCAGCCGAATGAGCATCCCATCCAACATCCCAACACAATCCGGAAATCCATATACATCCATAATATACTCAGATGTCTCCTGGCAGCGCTTGCCGTCTCCCCATGCAACAACCCGTATACCCAACTCCCGCAATGCCCGCACTACTCACCGGCAGTACAGGAACACTGTTCCGAATCCAACTGCAAGTTTGTGGGCAGCTTGGAGTGGATTTGCGCCTCGTGAGCCGTACTGAAGGAGAAAGCATGCCAGTTGATATTGGACCGCGCGCTGTGGTCTCTTGCCAGTTGATTGGAAGATGGGGTTTTGTTCGAGGAGATGGACAAGACAGTCGAAGGTGGGCCATCCAACCCTGAAAGATGTTAGCGAAGATAGCGCTGATGATTTAATACAAAACATACCTGTATTCATGTCGAAAATCTCGGTCTGGCCAGCTCAGCGAAATCTCGAAGAATTCAAAACATTTTCTCCATTGATTGTATGGGCTGCATGAGACACCAGACAGCATACTTGCAAATACTTGAAGTGCTGTGCTTGTTCTTGTGAGAGATGCAGCAGTATGATGACTGTGGTTGTCATTGTCGCCGTCGGGGAAAATGGCATGTTCGAGTTCAAGACGAGCGCGTTTTGAGATGCCCAACATAGACAACGAGGCAGAAAGGACAGTTAAGAGATCACGGAACTCTCGTTTCGCTGCATAACAAGGACAATGCGTTGTGTGATGGTGGGGTGATAAGACGCAGTAGGCCTGGCTTCGGCAACCCAAATGGAATCTCGCCTAGTCTTGCCCGTCGGCTATGTTGTTTGGCTTAAGGCACGGTAGGACTTGACGCACCTTGAACTTGACATCGTAAGAATTGAGCACACCTCATGCTACATCGCGGTTGGGTACTTTCAAAGAAACAAATATGACATAATCCTCTGTGCATCGAATACTATATTTGGTGCAGCATTCTAAGGCGGTTACCCCATATGTCCATGATATCATAAATCTTCGTAAGCGAAGGCCGTAGGCTCAGGACCAGCCTGGCTTATGCTACACATTGCCCTCATTAGGGCTGCTCAATTCTTGGGCTCAGTTCACGAGCTCAGCCCATCGGAGTTCGCCTGTCACCAAATGACAGTGCTTGGCGTTCGGCAGGCACCCAGCATCCATCAACACCTGCAAATAACGCACACTCTGTTCTGTTGCTCGTCGAAAGTCATTTGGTGCAGGGGAAACCATCACTAGCGGCCTAGGTAAGGTTTATTTGAACAGCGAGAATGTGAACTGATATATCAATTTAGCTTATACCCGTAATAGCTGCTTTCCGATGGCTTGGGAATCTGATGAGTATGCACAGGCTCTGCTTGCTGTAAGTGTAGCTCGTTCATTATGATCAGACTCGGACTAATTTACACTATTACTAGCTTGCACGTTCACAGCCGTCCAACTCGCCAACTCCGATTAGTGCTCCTGGCGTCTTGTGTTCTCCCAACACCTCATTTGTGCCACAACCCACCTATCATGGGCAGCACGTGTGGGGAGATCCAGCATATGGCACTATGCAACACCAGCCACTGGCACACTCGACGACCGTCAACAGCACTTCAGGAACCAGCGCTTGAGGCAGGGATGACCATAATGTAGCACTTCCAATACAAGCAGGAAAGCCTGAGGTCTCCTTGATGTAGTCTGAAATGATCTCCTTCCATGTGGCAGTCGGAAACACCAAGAACTCGACCTTTAGTTCCTGCAATGCTCTGCTAACCCGACGACAATACCTGAAAACAGAACCATGTCTGATTGCCAACTCTTTTGCCACTCGGAGAGTGTCAGATCCACGCATCCCATAACGGAAAAGAAAACACCCAAGCTGATACTTCACGTGTCGCTGTGGTTTGGTTCCAGTCAAAGTAAAAATTGGATTGTCTGCTAGTTTTGCAACCAGCCTGTCGAACATGTCTCGACTGACTCTGATTTGATTTGAAGTTCACGAAAAATCATCAATTAGCAAAACTACACTACACACCAAAAATAATGGCGAAATTCACAATCAGGACTTTGCAAGCAGCACGCAAAGAAATCCTTGGACTGAGGAATCTGATTGTATGGCCCTCGTAAACCATCACCAGTAATAGATGCTGCGAGAGATTGATATTCGAGAGCTGCCATGAGCAATGCATCAGAATCCGACATATAATCATTTTCAAGATCATCTTCATTAGTGAGTTCATCGAGGTTGTTATCGTTGTCGTCGAGCACAGCCGTGAGCCCCATGAGGAGTTGGGCTTGTCCTGCAAGATGTGCTTGGAGTTCAGCCTGTGTTGGTTGCACCATGGTCGAATTCACGCATCATTGTGGCTGCGTCGGCACACTCACCATGTGCAAGCCCTGTGTAGCACGGCCTGGTAGAGATATGTTGACAACAAGTTCCCTTAGGTAGACTACTATTTGTATACCATTTGTCAGCATTGCATGTATAGGTGTGTATTTTCTGAGTCAGCAAGGCTCGACACATGTGATCTATGCAAGGTCAACAAAGGTCGGTGGAGATATACTGACATCGTGCATGTACCTTGTGGGCTACGTCAAATCTTTTCACTTAGGTTGAGGTGTTCTAGACTTTGCTATACCAATGCCAGATGAGGCAAACAATATTCCATTAATATTAAATATTTGGTAGCTTCTTAATCAAAAGCAGACGATTCCGCCTATTCTGAAGCCTTGTGCCTGCCCTCTTGTGCCCTGCTCAGCTACCGCCATCATCATGCGTCATCCAGTGCCCATTCAGCATCAGGCTCCCCCTCCAGCTGCTAACTTCAACCAACAAATGCTATCATCAGGACTGTCAGATATGAATCAGCCAGTGGGACTGACCATGATACAACATCATCTGTCCTTGCTCACTCCCAAGGCGCGGGTAGCCCTTTTCAGCCAGATGCAGGGGATTCTGCCCCCTCCCCCACCTACTCTGCCGGCGCTGCTAGTGCCAGTAATCCAGCCAAATCTGGAACTTCTATTATCGATGCAAGACCTCGCTCAAAGGATGGAAGGAATCGAGAAGGATGTGTTGACAATTAAACATCAGAATGTCGATGAGGACCTTGCAACCAATGTAGATGTTGATGCTGAAGAAGAAAATCAGCCCTGCCCTCAATGGAAGCACACAACAAAGAAGAAATCCAAGGAACGAGCATATATCCTGAACGTGGCAAAGGCGAGGCTTACTGCAGCACAACTGACCACACGTTTGGAACTACAGGTGCGAATAGTTGCCTCTGCTCTTCAATCCACTGTCACTAAGACGTATCAGGAATGTCTGCACAAGACCATTTACGATCTCACCAGACTCATTGCAAGTGAAATCGGTAGCAATGGAAGTGATGACACAATGTCCGATCCACCAAAGATGATGTTTGACTTCCAGGCGGGTGCGTCCCATGAGGCGAACTCAGCAATCTTCTCCCAGGCTGTGGACATCGTCTGGAAAGAACAATCTGACAAGGAAACATGTTCGCTTACTCACCAAACTGTGCATTATACACACAATGATCTTGTCGCCTTTGTGAAGTCGAAATTCCAGTCCTACAAGCGCAAATATATTGAGAAGACAGATGAAGGAAGGGCAGTGAAACGACAGAAGTTCAACATTGTGAATAAATGGCTCCGTCGCCAGGAACATGTAAGAATTTATTTCATCAGTGGTTGTGAGCTTATACATTGGAACTTAGCTTGCTGAGGATCGCAAGAAGGCCGTGGATGACTATATCACACGGCACCATATTGATCCATCCGAACTCTTGCAGCCAGAGTACATGTCGGATCAGGTGTCAGAGCTCGATACTGACGACGAGGATGAGAAGCAAGCAAGAAAGAAAGATATACAAAAGGCAGCTAACCTTTTGGAACGTGATGTTCATGCTGGTGTTCCTGTATGGGAAACCATCAGACCAGCATGGAGATCAGAAGAGGTTTGCTAGCGGCTGACATATTCCGAGTCTACAAGTGACTAACTGGTTCAATGCAGGTCTCAAAGATTTTCGAAGAGCTAGACTTGATCTGAGATGAGCAGCGCAAGGAATCCAAGCAAAAAACGGCACTCACCAGACGTGTTAACCTTAGCAACAACAACAACGCTCCACCGTCGATTCCCATTTTCCCGTTCATGCTTGATTCCAAATGGCACGACTCTTACCAGGCTGGAACTCCTTATGCACCCATCGAGATGTACGAACAGGACCCTCAAGGCTTCAAAAAACGAGAAGGTCAGCATGATGAGGATCTCCCCCAAGGCAACAGTGAGAAGGCCAGCGAAAACGGCAGCACTGACAGCCACAGTGTGAATGGTGATGGCGACGGCGATGATGCTGATGATACCTTGGATGGTGATTCATGATGATTGTTACTTCACAGGTTCATTTCTTGGTGCTTAAAGGTAGAAGTGAATGCATGCTGTTGTTTGGAGCAAAGATTACGAGGATGTACTAATTAGAAGACTTGGACTTCCTGTGCAGCAACATTAATTGACATCTATACATGTGAGTGTTTAAGACCTACTCGACTACGTCTGACAGTAGCCCACACATCGGACTGACCTATCTTGATCATCCTTCATCTGTAACGTTAGACGACATGCCTGTGAGATGTCGAGATCTGGGGGAATCAACTGAGGAGGTCCTTCAATAGTGGGATCAAGAAACATCTCATGCTCCCAGAGAAAAACTTCGAGCTCAGGGCTATAAAATACATCTGTTAGTGAACTGATTCTACAAAAATGATACTTACTATTGAACCCAGTGGCGTAAATTTATGTCAAGTTTCCTGTGAAACCACTTGACATCCAGTAGAATGGATTCTCGCTCAATTCCACGCTGGCTGTGTGAAATAATCGTGAATACTTGTCCCACATAACGCGTGTCATTGAGGTCCACTTGGATGATAGAGTTTGAGGCTTTGACCAGTGAGGATGAAGAGGCAACACAACGACCATCGAGTATGATATAGTTGTGAAAATTTGCATGTGTAAGGAGGTAGTTCGGGTCCAGATTGTCTGTGCTTGCACGGGTCATAGCACTGACAACATGAGCTTGTGGGTTGGTATTCTGGTAGTGAATGATGAGCTGGTGCTGCTGATCGCGTGATAGTCCAGCTTTTGTATGTGTGCCAAGGGAAAATTGGATGTTCACTGACTCAGAGTCAGTATATATATTGGGGATCATTGGCTCACCATCAATGCTTGACTGCTCTGTTTCAAGGGCAAGAGATGCTACCATACCTCGGGTGTCACCATCTGTAGCCAACATGAGCTGAATGCAATCAACAACAAGTCTTGATCCATCATTCTCGTCTGCCAACTTCTCGGCTGCTAATATGTTACCAAGCTAGAGACACAACGTGAGCTCGATTCATTGACAATTTGAACAACACAAACCATTGTTTGAAGCTCTCGATCCTTCTCGAAAGCGCAGAAGAAGCCAACCTCGAGTTCACCAGCACCATGGTTATTTGTAGAGTAGCTCTTGAGTAGTTTGTTGAGCCTTTCGAAGAGGAACGTCCAGAATCCATATACTGGCCCATAATCACACAGTTGATCAAATATATGCGTCACCCAATGGTGCATTGGCTTCACATCTTTTGGATGAATCTGCTTGCCTTTGTTAGCAAATAATTTCATGCTAAAATGACCAGTACCTTGATAAACTTAATCAGATATTCATGAAGGAGGTGTTTCGCTCATGGGATATCAGCGTCCTTGACAGTTCGACCAAGGATGATTTTCAATGCAGCAGCAAGATTAAGGAAATTACTTCCGCTGTTCTCATGCATCTGCATGACTGGTTTTTCACTCACTTTTTCATCGCCCTTCTTTGCCTTACCGGTCATGTTCCTTTTGATGTGATCAGCTTCGCGTTTTTCCCAGTTTGCTAGGCTCGCGTCATGTGCTTTTTTGTTCTTGAGATACCATTCATCCCAAATAAGAGGGATCTGTTACCAAGTTTACTTAGGTTATGAGCACAATGAACACCCGATTGATGTACCACAATTGGCCTGAAAACGAGTGCAAGACCCTTCCATTCATCTGAAGTGAGAGACCCACCAGCAGGGTAGCCGACTTGATCTGGTAACCTTGCGACCCATGATGGCATCTCGAACTTAAAATGGTCAGTGACAAGTTGATTTGCACCTCAGGCAACACTTTTTGGTACCTATAAAGGGTCTTTGAGACCTGGTTGTTATGTTGTGGGAAACCTATCTGCGAGACCCACCTACCCTCCGATCTAAAAATACCTTACATGTAATTTTAGCTCCCGCCCTTCCCGCATACCTACAGCACCTCCTGCACTTCGTTTTGTTACTTTTGTAGGCTCTGGTAGTTCGTTTGTAGGCTTGCGCGGTATGCCTAATAGTCTAGTAGCATTGTCTGGTAGGCTCTGGAGGTATCCTTGGTATGTGTCCATTTATGTATTGTGAACCAATTAATGTACTCAGTACATGTTTTTCCATAGTCATTGTACGCATGCAGCTCTTCTCTCCATGACTCTCACTAACTCCTGGAACACCCGCCAAGCTCAACTCGTATGCTCTGGCCTTGGGTAACACTTCGTAAGTCCGAGGAAAGCCAGAGATAAGAGGAAAACTCAAAGCCTCATGGCATTGCCTGGCGCAGAACTCAAGTGTCGACATCTACTTGCTCAAATGCAACGCCTCATGAATCCTACATCCTCCCAAACAGTGTGTTCTCCTCGTACCAGACTGGGTAGTCCCTCTGGTGAATCCAACAACATCAACATATCAAACAATTTTGATTTTGCAGGCGCTGAAGACCAAATGTCGGAGGAAGTCTCTTCTGATATGCGCACAGACATCGAGACAAGTCCACACAAGCGGCAAATTCTCACCGATAAATCGACAGATGCATTATACGCCAACTGGCAGAAGCTCGTACCCACCCTCATTGACCCGCAATTGAGCTATTATGCTCAAACTCTTGGGCAAGCCTTGGAGAAACCTCACGATGTGATCTCAGCATGTGGGACTGACACACTGCGCTCACAAAAGGACGAATTTGTTGTGTTTGTTCTTTGATAGTAAGTACTCACACTTTTTCCTATCACATAATCTAACAAGTGCAAAAATATATCAACAGGATTTGTATCAATCGACATACTGAGCTGTGAATGCTCCAGCCTTGCGCAGGTCCTTCTTCATCATGGATTATTCCCTACTTCACCTTCACAGCCTCGGATGGCAGTGTCCGTTGATCTGTTGTCGTTTTATCAGGGCACTCTTTGAGCGTTTGTGTGATGCAATCAACGCTCTGGCATCTGCGCTCAAAACTCACTATTCACGCCGAGGATTTCAAGTGACTGACGCACAGGTAAGATCTATTCGCCTTGTATTAATGTTACTAAACTAGATTGAAGGGTGAACTTGTGCAGGAACCATTTTGCCGTGGTCTGGGCTATGCCATACAGTGGTATGATGTCCTACAGGTCGAAATCGAATGCCAAGTCGACACAGTTCTCCAACAAAGTCGAGACCGTATGGCCAACCTCCAACCACCCCAACCACCTCAAAGTTCAGATTCGATTGTCTTACACCGTGAGCGATGTGCATCACTTCTTGCAAAACGCTGTCTGGCATGTTTTGGTGGCATGCTGTTTGGCTGACCCATTGAAGAAGGTGGTGACATACACGTTGCTACAGACGGTAATTTCCATCATTGTCACTGGTGTTCTGCCGGTGACTGTCCTCGTTTTTATGAGCCCACTTACTTCCTTTCCAAGCAATTTGTTGATGCAGTCGGGCGCTGAATTGATACACAATGTAAGCGACCAGCAAAGGCACATGCGCCCCTTGTGCCTGATGAAGCTATCGACCTATGTGAGAATGTGTATGAAGCTGCCAACGGGAAGAAACAAAAGGCCACTATGAACAGCTTTGACGACACAGGCATAATGGCCCTTATTTGCCATCACAATATTCCTCTTTTTTTTTGCTAACATCAATACCCCTGGCGAGCAACAGAAGTACTTGGTTGCCCTCATTGAACACTTATTTACGCTGCTCCCTCCTCAAGCCACGGTCGTGACTCTCTACGACGTCGGCTGTGTTCTTGCATGGTCCCTTTCAAAAGTATGTACATGATCTTAATTACATTCACTCGCTGATTATGTCCAGTTCGATATTCTACCTCAGGATGTGCTATTGCGCCTGCACTTTCGTGACTACAGCCATGCATGCGTATGGGCATGGATGGGCCTGTCAACTGGTGCACAATCCTCAGATGTGCATCAGCATGGGGCTATCAGATGGCGAGGGGACTGAGCAGTTGTGGTCACAATTCATTCGCCTGATAGGTGTTGAAAGATCATCATCGGTACGTTACACGATATCGTACACTAACATATATGTACTGATTACTTGAATTCACTTAGCGTCAGCGCCGTATTTGGTTAATTGACCATCAAGCGACTGCGATAGGATCAGAGATGAAGGATGACCTTGGTGACTGGATTAAATGCCGTCTGAAGCGGGGCATCAAGGACCAGGGTTCTGTGGCACTCGATGCTATCAACCGCTGTGAAATATCTGTGGAGGATCTACAGGCTCAGTGGACTGACCAGCAACAATCGCAACTCTCAATTCGCACTCGTGAGTAACCACTCAATATGCGCACAACGAGTACTTATGTTCAATTTGTCCTCAGATGCTCCTGCTCACCTCCGAAAAGAACTCAACACTGTCCTGGCTCTACAATCCAATTTGGACGCCTCTGATCGAGCCTTGCAGGCTACAAGGACTACACTAGAGAAGGATGCAGCATCCGGTGATACCCTTGATGTCCTCGAGAGCCTACAGAGGGGCCATGATTGGCTCATGGCCAAAGTTGAAGCACTGTATTCTTCTCTAAATGTACACGACAGGTTTCCCAAGCTCGATGGAGTCAATCTTGACTTTGTCCGTGTACTTCTTATCGCACATGATCTCAAGATGAATATTCGGAAGCACACTATCACCAGTTTTTTTGAATGGGATAAACTCGATCGCGCTGTAGGTGGATCTCAACAAACATTAGGTAAGTCTTCATGTACGATGACTACTCATCCATTCTAACCTTATTTTTAAGGAACAAAGCTTCATCAACACACTCAGAAAGCTATTGCAAAATGGCAACCTGCTCTCATGACAGCCATCAGAAAATTTAATACATATTGTGAGCACTTAGAGTTACTCTATGATCCTGCTTGGAACATCCCGCTTCCCACCCCTCTTCCTACCAAATTAGCTGAGCTACGTGGTGACCAGACATTAATGCAGGATGTCTGGGTGACACCATCAATGGGAGAGGTACCTCGATGGCTGGCCGACTCGGATGTCAGGGATGGAATCCGCGCCCTTCTCAAATGCAACCGGTGTCGGGAGGAACAACAACGCTTAGGTATGGAGGTGGACAATTTGTGCCGCTTCTTTGGAGAAGAGCTGACGGCACTGGAGCTTTCACTCTGATTGCCTGAAAGTAAGTTTGCTTCGCAATATTCAATCAACGTTTAAATGATGAACTTGCTCATTTATAGACCAGCGCTTCGTTGTTCCATTGCAACAGAGGCGCTCACATTTTCTCCGCCTTCAGATGCGATGGGCAAATTCGCTAGCATCTTCGGTTTGGTTTACAAGCCGTGCAAAAGAGGTGCTGGATTGCGCTATAGCCTACTCTGGAGGTCCTCAAAGTACTGCTCTTCATTTGGCGAGTGTGACGGTGCAGGACCCTGTCCCAGAGGATGAAGCAGTGTTGCCTGAGGTAGATGACTTGGCAGAGGTTGAGCCTGAGCAAGCTGCGCTTGCAGACATTCTGGAGGGTGATATTGCTGGAGCAGAGATTGATGAGGACGAAGATATAGTGCATAATGTTTGTGCCGACATAGTGTGGGATCCCCCTGAGGTAAGTCAATATTGTTGACGCCAACTCTCACTAACATATATGTAGGGTCTCCAGATTGATGACTTCCATGTACCATCTCAAGACTCACATACCATTGTGCGTGGACGTGTAGCCACAAGAACAACATCATCAACTGGAGGCTTCCCCCAGCAAGTGTTTTGAACCGAGGGATATATCTTTTCTCACTCGTCCAACTGCATTCCTCAATGATGTATGTATCAATGGCTGTGCCATCCTCCTGCAGATGGACACGCCTAACTCAACCGTGGCTATCTTCTCTACACACGATTTGCCTCACATCCGCTACAATGCCATGGATGATATACTCTGGTGCAATACATCCTGGACGCGTTATTGGGAGAAAGATGTGTGGGTTCTACCAATTCATAGGCCAGCTAATGCCGGCCATTGGGTTGTTTGCGTTATATATTTGTCAAGAAAAGAACTTCACCTTTTCGACAGTCTCGCTGAATGGAAACCCTGGAAACATGACATGAAAGTAGGTTTAATCTAACATTCATGCAATGATGATTTTGATTGCTTTGCAGGATATCATGAAACTAGTTTGTCGACTTCTGATGATAGCACGTCAATGAGAGAAGGAGGTATATGTTGATCTTGATGGATGGGTAGCTCGCCCATTGACAGTGAGTTCAAGTGTATCTCATGTCTCAACCCTCGATTTGACGATTCACACAGGTTAAATCTCTCCAGACTAACGGATATGATTGCGGCATATGGATCTTAGCAGTGATGATTGCTGTCCTATGTGGATGGCACATTACACGACTACAAGAGGATGAAATAAGTGACCTACAATATTATCTACGTGCTCACATACTTTCCATACCAGTATTCTAGCCTGCATGCATGTACAGTACTGTTACTACCCTAAGTCTGTACATATTGACCATTGGCAAGCAATCTATCATACTGGACTGTCTTCTCCCCACAAACATATTTGAATTTGCCAATGAGGACAAATCATGACGTGTCAGACAGGCTATCATAGAATATATCTCCCTCATGTTGGCCATACATCCTGCATGGCAAGTGTCATTATATTGAACACACCTATCTAAGCTAGAGTCTTCTCCCTTTAGCCAGGCTATCATAGAATATATCTTTCTTCTTGCCATACCGTACATTGGCACACAATCAATGTCAATCATCATGTGGTTAGTAAGTGTTTCTTCTCCAAACAACTCCTCTTACTACATCTCAGAAACATTTCCCAACTCGAACATAGCACACCGACAACCAGAATATATTGTGTCATAGTACTAGATTTGCCATGAGAACAATGAGCGGAGAGGAGAGTCAATCGGACAAGATGTGACAATCAGTATTCATGCACTGTCACTCATGCTGCCACAAGCTAATCACGTATTATACAGGTCGTCCCACTCATTGTGCCATGGCATTCCAAATGTCCTTGCTGTCACAAGATATTTTCATGTCATTTGGTTGGGGCTGATGCTGTGAGTTGTTCGATACTGTTGTCGAGGATTTCACGCCAATTCATCTCTTGCAGTTTGTGTTTCTATGTTAGCACGAGATTTATTCTCAATATTACTGGCTGATAGCCTCACCGGTATGCACTCCAGTAGGTTCATGACCCTCCTGGACCTACTGATCTTGCACAGCCCTCTCAGACATCCATGACAGGCCCTACCGAAAATACTCGCGGTCAGTCGGCTCCTCATATTGAAATTTAATACCAATTGCATTCTAACTTGTTATGTAGCATAAAACTTAGTGACCCTGGCCGCAAATGTACTAATGGCAAAATACATATAATGGAGGCTGTGGTGAGTCTTTTCCTCTGGAGCTCTTCGGATCACTCATACGCCTCTCTCCTCTGCTAAATTTGCTCCCTTCAACATACAAAATCTTTCAGATACTTACACTGGTGCGTTATTGGATACTCTGAAGTATCCCTCTTTGACGATACTTTTTAGAATGACTCAAACCTTGTTCAATGAGGAATTGGACTTGTTCGACAGGCCATCCTCTCCAGCCTTTCCCCTTCCTGACGCCAACTATGCATATGAACAATTTGGTGGAGGCCGTCGGTATGAAGAACCAACGGTCGAGCTGACTCCATCAAGGTTGAGGAGTCATCTTAAGGCCACAGCACGTGACACCGGTGTCATCAAAGGCGCTTCTATTCAATGAAGGGGGGGCCAACAAATGCAGATAGTGCAGACAGTCAAGGTCCCATGCAACCAGGTGCCGCGCCCTTGCAAGGACCTGCACAGCCAGGCCCGAGCACTGCATCTTTGGATCAGCCTCAAGATGATGTAGCAAGTGATTCAACACTTACCATTGCACTGAGTGGCACTCGGCACCACTCACCTTTTACAGGTGATGTGACATCACTCACTGTCCCACAGGGTAGCAGCCGCCACCCATCACCCTTCACAGGTGACATGGCTTCCCGACCCCCAGGTCCCGCGTCTCTTAGCAGTCGGCACCCATCACCCTTCACAGGTGACATGTTCTATGGTTCAATGGGTGACCAGCCTACTTGGACGGGTCAACAGACACCTATGTATGATCTCATGGGCTGCCGAACCGTTCACGGCCTTACTCAGGGACCAGGCTCCAGATCCTTCTGCCTTCATGCATAGCTTCCTCGGTCAAGTGCCACCTTTTGATCTTCACTGCGGATCTCACTCAGCCCCTCAAGCTGGTCCTGCACTTCCGCCCTCCACGAACATTATCCCACCCACACCGCTTAAGGACATGAATGATCCTAGCGTCCCCACTGCACACACCCCAAGTCCCGGGCCAAGTCAGCAACTCGACATGAGCCACTACTCTCCTGACTCCAACAATCACGAACGGTTTCCTGAAGAAAGCCTTACTTCATGCTCTGAGGAACTACCAGTTGTGGGACGCAGGTCTGCAGAGACCAACGCTGCACTTGATGCAGGGTTTGCGGCCATCAATCAGAACTTGCTCGAATTATCCAGGTCTACTGCGATGCCAATGAATCAAGTAATCAATTTGTTCATGAAGAGCCGTGGATGCACCGCAAGCAGTATCAATTACTGGAACCTTTATTCTAATTATTTCAAGGACAACTCAAAGCAGGAACTCACCCGACTTCATCAAGATCTTCCGGTTGGAGCACGCACACCTAGTAAGTTCTCAATATGCATCCATTGCAGTATGCAAATTTATTTTTTCACAGGTGCTACTGTGCGTAAAGACTGCTACACGAAGTTCAAAGACCAGTACCCCAACACATTTCAAGATATCCTCAACATGCATGATGAGATATCTTCACTAGGCGGAGTGCCTCAAACAGTCAGCCGGTGTGCGCAGGCATTCCAGAGGCTTCAGAAAAGGGTGACTAATATTGTAAGTGATTTCATTATTGGCGTCTCGGCACTTATGTACATTCATTCGTGCAGTTAGATGTTGCGTCCACTAAATTTGGGTTTGAGTCTGCGACGGTTATGTGTGACAAGATTGTCAACCAGGATGCTTCACTTGGTCATGTACACACAACACCTGGCGCGACAGATGTAAGTCGTCAAAGTCATGTCTTAACCTTGTGCACTTATTAATATTCTGTGATAGTTCTTTGTCACATGATGCCGCGCAGACAATGACACTATCATCGGTCACCTCAAAGCCCAAGTTTAGTGAGTTTTTCTTTTTATCTTGAAGTTTACACTATCTCATTCAATGTCACAGTAACTCAATATCATTATCTACTGTCGAGCTCGCATTCATGGAACAGGAAGATAATATATGGCGTCCTCTTCCAAAGTTGTAGATTCAAAGCGCCCCAATTCTAAGGACCCTGACCCCGATGACATGGATCAAGATTCTGACCCTTTGGAAGGACGCGAAGACAGTATGAAATGGATCAAGAAGCAAATTACAAAACAAGTTGGTACATTTTTGGTTCTCTCTCATTATTTTCAGACTAATTGACACTCCTACCTCAGCCATGTTCGGAGGCAAATTCGGCACCAACAGGACCTTTCCTTGGAAGCTCATGCCGAATGCACTTGCAGACGACAATGTGTGCATCAAGGGTTACCCTGCACACAAATGTCTCCTGCCAGGCGAGTCATGCAGGATTACCTCAAGTGCAAAGAGCAAGGGTGTTGCTGGTTTGACACAGAAGGAGGTCACCATCCTCGTCGAAGCTTTAAAAGCAAAGTCCATGTATGTCGAGAAAGTTGACGTTAAGGAATGAGGTATGTAATCGATTCATTTCTTCAAGATTTTGTTTTTCTGATGTTTCAATAGCATTAGTATTGACCTCTCAGTGGCCCGTAATTTTCGGTGAAGCTCCTCCATTGGACTACCCTCATGCACATGCTCGATGTCTTTTCGTCGATGAACATATCAACTACAATGGTCCCCCTTGCATCAAGTCTAGTACAGCAACTACGAAAATCAAGAAATCTACGACTTCAGTAGGGAAATCTGGTATGCATCTGGAGGTAGTACCTCCCCCATCACGGCCGTTTAAGGTTGTTGCCCGGCCGCCACCTCACAAGGTGATCGACGTTCAATCCACTTCCCCCGATTCTCAAGACGCAAATGACCAACACCAAGAGGACTCTGAGTCGGAGTATGAGGACGCGTCTCACGGAAAGAGGAAGAAGAGGAAGTCCAGTGGTGAGCTGCATGCATCAAAAAAGCGCACTTCACCTGTAGACATTCTCCCCAAAGCAGGGAGGACGGGCGTGCAATCAAAGGAGACACCAGTGCTGTCACAATCACCAACAAAAGGAGGTCCATTATCCCCATTGACAGTAGAGTCATCCGGCGATGATCAAGACCTCCTTGCAACTACTACTATGCACCTTCATGACGGCCCTTCTGAGCAACCTGCAAACACCAAAGGTATGACATCTTCTATTTATTTATTTCAGTAGGCTAACAATTGATTTTATAGCTCGTGTCAAAGCACATCCGGTTGTGAAGGGCTCTCATTGGAAGCCAAAGCCGATGTCTCGTTATGGCTGCACCCTTCGTACCATATACTCTGACGCCGACTCTGACACTATTGACGACAGGATCGAACCCAAGTCCCAAAAACTCGAACCCAAGTCTCAAAAACTCTCTCCAAGGAGCGCAGACAACTCTGCCACAAGTTCTGCAGATGTGCCTGCAGATACTACTGAGGTGGCAGCCACACCACTGTCACAGCCAAATATTGAGGTGAACGGTGCACTCCTGCAGTCTCCACCAACTTCAGACACAGTTCAATGCGATGTTGCCAGCGATATTGGCCAAGTTCTGGGGCAAACGGACACATCTTTTCCCACAGAGCTTCCTCAGGCTGTGCCTCATGGAGGAGCAGAAGGAGCGGGAGGCATGGGAGGAGCAGTGGTAGCAGGAGGTGGTGATGTAGGAGGAGGAGCGGTGGTAGCAGGAGGTGGTGATGTAGGAGGAGTTCAATTTGGAGGAGGAGGAGGTAATGGATTGGTGAGCTGAGGTGCCTTGGATGACAGTTTGACCAGTCAAGCACCACTGGAGCCCCACAACCTCCCCATGAACACTGATTGCCAATCTGAGGAGTCCATGCGCTGTCAAGAGCATCTCCATCATGAGATCCGTGATCCTCGTATGCCTAGTCGTGGTACTCATGACGCATCCTATCCAGTAAGTGATACACTCTGATTTTTGCATGATTAAATTAATGTCTTGGCAGATGCAGGATTACCAACGCTGAGGGAGAGGAATGATAGCTGCGTGCTAGGGGGAAGAGTGGGAAGTGGGCTCTCAAGTGCTCCTCTGGATACGAGTGGAAAGTCGTCCCAAGGGGATTGCTACTGAGAAAGATTCCTCTAGTGAAAGGTGAGGGGGATCTATAACCAGTGGTTCGGTCTCGAAGCCTGAATGGGACACTGAGGCAAGTAATGCACCCAAAAGTGAAGAGCGCTAGCTAAAGGCGCCTAAACGCGCTAATAAGGTGGAAAGTGCGGAAAAGCGCACTTCGTGCAATCACAATGGAGTGCTTTGAGTAGAGTTGGCAATCAAATGGGGGAATCAGGACTTTGAAAGATGTGGAAATAGACACTTAAAGGTGTCAAAGCAGCCAATAGGAGGGAAACAGGTGTATTCAGATAGAAACTCAAGCTATACACTTGGATGGTAGTGGAGCGGAAGTAAGTGACAGGAAAATGAACATGGTGACATGTAGGTATGCTAAGCAAGTTCCCACGGCTCAGAGCCGAATAGGAAGTACTAAGGTAAATGGTGAGGCAAGTCAGGGTCCATAACGAAGATATGATGATAAGTACTAGTGCCTGCGTGACAGAGTATGAGTTCTGAAGAAGGAAAAAAGCACCAATGGACCTTGGAGGACTAGGACAGGACATGCAGAGGACAGGTGACGGATCCTAAGGAAATGCGACAAAGTGCACTGCAACGCGCTTGAACACACCCGAACGCGCTGGTACACACCAAAGCGCGCGCTGCACGGAAGTCATATGAGAAGCACGTTGCAAGGATATCGAGTGCATCGTGAAAAGGCATGAATTTGGCCCATATGAGCCTGCAGAAACACGAGTCTCTACAATGCCTCCATCCACATGATCTATACCCTGACCACTATCATACTCGCAATCATACACGAGATGTGTCCCCAGTGGCAGAATCCAGCGCAGATTACAGCATGGAACAGGCACACAGTCGCTCACAGGCATACTCCAACCATGACAGGTATAGCCCAGCAGTGGACTATGGATACACGCGTCGTGAATATGGATACCCTCCCCGTGGAGATTTCGACGATCATGGCATGGGAATTCCTCCCCAGCACACCAGAGGTTACTATCCTGACCCCCACACTCATGGGAGACAAGCAGGATATGGCACCGCGGACTCCAGTGGGCCGGTCACAATTCACGCAGCCCATACTATGGACCAAGTCCCAACTTGAGCTCTCAGGCAGAGTACCCAGGTAAGGCGCCTCCTTCTGCTTGATTTTATGTATCTCCTTTAGCCTCCCAGTTCATCATTATGCTTTCTATTTTTTGTCCTCCAAGTTGCAGTTCGGTCATTTCCACCTTCTTGCCCATCCCTGTTCTGCTATTCTGCCTTGACTATTATGCCGCTCTTGTTTGCACCACCCTCGATGTGTTTCTTTTCTTGTTCTGCTGTTCTGCCGCTCTCGTCTGCACTGCCCTCGATGTTTTTCAGTTCTGGTACCTGACTCTTTTAATACATCCTAGTACTTCTGTATGTAGTTCAACATCTTGTCGACTTTTGACTTGCTGTTACCATCCATCCAATATATTGAGTGTGTTGCTCAAATCAATGTGTGAAATTTTCACAACTTCTACAAGCATGGACATCGAGCAGAACACTCGTTGAATAAAAAACAGAAAACATAAGTGAATATGTGACACTGGCAGTCCTCCAAAACATCGCAAATGTTCCCCCCAAGATCTCCTTGATGTTCCTCTCAAACCTCCTCAATGACCCTCTCAAACCTCCTCAACAACCCTCTCAAACATCCCTGACGATCCCTCTCAAACCTCCTTGACGACCCTCTCAAGCATCCCTGACGACCCTCTCAACCCTCTCCGATGACCCTCTCAGACCTCTCCAACAACGCTCTCAAACCTCCCCAACAATCCTCCCAAGCCTCGCAGACACTCCTCTGAGACCTCTGGTATTTGTTAGTTTATAAAGGAGAAGCTCACGTACCTTGGGAGGAAACTTCAGTAGAATCTGGAGGCAATGGGTGGAGAAGCTTTGAGTAGGGACGTCTTAGAGACTGGTTATTGCATACCAAGAAACCCAGTCTGAAAGACCGTGAGAACGTCGAAAAAGTGCTGCCAAGGGTGTTGATTTGAGAGATGTAAATGTCACCTTCAAGAGATAAAGGTGTATCTGGTCTAGTTCTTGTGGAACTCCTGCTGTTGCTGTGCGCTGATGTAGAGTATTGTTCTTGATCCAGGAGGTAAACCATTGGCAGCGAATCATGCCTGTAAAGTGTTAGAACCAACATGACAGAGATATAATACGAACCTAAAAGAAAGCTATGCATGGGATCAATCACCATCATTTGCACAGGGTCAAAATATGGTAGGCATGAGAGTTCAAACCATTGTGCGCTGTGTTTTTTGAAGAACCCATCACGTTGATCTGTCGGAAGATCTCAGTATTCTCGCACACGACGTATATGCTCTTGACCATCTCTCGCAGGAAACTCTGCAATTGAAGAGTGTGAGTCATCACAGTACAACACAACGAAGGCTTACTGTCATAATGCATTGCATCCTCTGTCGCTAGCTTGCTTTTAGGTATATGACATCGAGTACAGAACCCTTCCTCCTTGGAGTGGTTCCCAAACCCACAGACTTTACACATTGCGGGATGGTCGCAACAAACGGCAACCAAGATCACCCGAATTCATCAACCATCAGGATGCTCAGGTGTCTTGATGAATATACCATTATCATACAATGCGAGAAGGTTGTCAATGTAATTCTTCATAAAGTGTTGGAGCTGGTCACTGTTGAATTCTTTGGGTCCAGGAGTGATGCCAAATAACAATAGATTCCGTGGGCGATACCTTAGAGAATTGGTGATTAGTAGATTTTAGATTGTATGATGACATGTGACATACCGTAAATGTGTTGGCAGGTTCGCGATGCAGCTCAACATGACCCTGGAGCTGTGGGAGCTAGACGCAGCACTTCGTTCGTAGCTATACCTGTGCAAAATGTAAGGGATGATTCTGGACGAGGATTTGAGCATACCCATCAAAACCAAGGGTAATCCCGATCCTCAGCTCATCTTGATCACTGCGATCAGGGCTGTTATCGAAAAATAACTTGCCATCAGCTCCACGTAAGGACTTCCAGACTTCACCATCTTGAATACGAGTCCTGGTACCTGGTGGGCTCTGATCTTTTCGCCACTGATCCACCTCCTTTTCGATACCATCCTGCCAGATAAGACGGAGAAGTGTGTTGGAAAGAGGATTCTGGGCACATTGTAGCTTAGGTTTGCGTTTAAAAGGGGCGGAAGAGCGGGTTTTGGGACCAGAAGTAGGTGCTGGTGTTGATGAATTGGGCAGGGATGGCATAGCGGTATTTTCGTCTGATGGAACAACAGCTTCAGATGATGATGCTGTAACTCGTCGAAATAAAAATACACCACAATCCAAACAACGTGCGGTGGAGTCGGAGTCTGGAGGAAAGACGCGACAACAGCTCGGACATAGCAGATGAATGTGGAACTGGTCACTAAGCTTGAGTCTTGTGTAGACAGTTTTGAGAGTTTGTTCAGGTTTATCTTGTACCCTGAAAACACCGAGCCCATAGAATATGACAGCAAGCACTTTTAAAATGAGATTATTAGCGCGATGCAGAAGGTGATAATGGAGGTTCAACCACAGCACTAGAAGTAATATAATCTTCCAGAACCAGTAGGGTGAAGCATTGTCAAGGACCTCACAAGCTGGTTGAGATGGACGATCAACTGGTGTGTCATTTGTGATTGCAGTAGTATCCTCATGTCACATTTCATCACTGCCAGGAACTGCTGCTGCAGGTGCGAGCATGTCTTCGCCGGTATTTGAGGGTGGGAAAGCCCTATCGAGGAGACAAAGCAACGATGTAGGCCCTACTAGTGGCTCACTGGTACGTTGAGGGCCACTATCCTTGTCCTCCGCATCTGAGAAGTCATCTAAAAGCGGAGGCATATCAGAAAACTGATGACCATCAGGCATCTCCATGTCGTTGAGAAACATATCCTCGGTCTCGAGAAGTTGGTCTTGCTGTAGGTTATCACCTGTACTTGACTGGATCTTGTCGATGTCCATTTCAGACGCAAAGTCAAAGCCAGCAACAGAGACGTCCATTTCGCTGACTGGTGAAGGCATTCTGGATGCGAGCATGTCGAATAAATCTGCATTAGTGTCTGCAAGGTCCATTGGAGGATCAGAAGTTGCCACTGATGTGGGATGATTGTGAGGCTGGAAAATTCCAGTAGGTGACGAAAGTGGCAGCGACAGAGGTACTGCAGGTGTCCCGATGAGTAGTTCTTGGTGTTTCAGGGACTGTGTCGGTACTACAACATTGATTGATATATTTCAGAACATATCTTACACATTTTGAAAGAGGGGGACACACCTGAACACTCGCCAAGTTGTGGAATGTCTGTTTGCATCGCCATGCTACTACCAGACGGACCTGCGACTATCTTCATCACCTTTGCATGCGCTTGTGGAACCAGTTTCGACTTTTTGGCCTTTTCTTCCTTCTGACGGTGCTTGCGTTCATCGTACTTCGGTATCTTCTTGCCTTTCGTGCCACATTCACTGACACACTCCCCGCATGTACATGCAACAAGGCGTTTCTCGCTGTCATACTAGGATAAATAGTGAGCTGACAGTCATTCCATGATGTACAGTAAGTAGCTCACCTTATTCTTCTTTGCTAGCTTTCTGGACATTGAGTATAGAAGTTCAGCTGTATGTAGTTGATGGTAGGGCAGAGGGGTGACGGGGACTTAGAAATTTTCTGACTTGCGACTCTAAAGCTTCGAACGGTAACATCATGTCCATTCACCTGTATGTACATCACGATACCTAAGGTAGACTAAAATAAGCTTATTGCGAATCTGCCGAATGAGCCGAGGCGTGTGGACGGTAGCTGGACGCAGGTGGACACGTAGGTGTTGCAGCACTGGAGACATATCCGAGGGTAGGTTGGTTGACGAAAAGTATACGAAGTTATACCTGACGCGGCTGATAACAATTGTACAGATGGTTCGTTGACATATGTTTTCTCAATATAGCCACGTGTAAACACGTGGCGTAGAGACAGGCCTGGAACGCAGTGACTCTCGGCAGCATCGGAACCCTTTAAAAATGTCAAAATTTGACAAGTGAACTCCGATGGGCTGAGCTCGCGAACTGAGCCCAAGAATTGAGCAGCCCTATTAATCATAATTCCTCCATGTCATAATTCCTCCACGTCATAATTCCTCCACATCATAATTCCACGTCATAATTCCTCCAGGAGTCCATGCATCATGCATCGTGCCTCGGAAGCGCAGTTAGCGCCAGTTACAGACTAATACTAGTCCCTCCGGCGCAATATTGTGGTACATCCTGCCCTCAGTATGCCGCTCATCAAATTTTCACAAAGCTTTTGCAGCCCGTCACGGTACCAGGCCAGTGCTAGTGAGGCTCCGGGCGTACATCAATGATTCATTGATTCATATACTATATATAGGGCCTCTGGAAGTCTCCATTAAGCAGACTCAAATGATCTCTGGGATCTTACAATCGCACCACGTTCTGAACTTCGCGCCGTACTTCAAGCCTTTAACTTGCGGGGTCTTGGCTCGATTAGTAAAAAATCATCCAACCATTCGTCCCCCACGCTGAGAACTTGGCATCATATCTCAGGGTCCTGGTTCGATTGGTTAAACCATTCGCGAATTAGTGCGTCCTATCTGGCTATAATACTGTGACACGGTCTGCGACGTTTCGATGTTGTCTGCAGTTTTTCAGGACGATGTCGCCCCTTCTGCCCCACTCCCTGGGTGCTGATGAACCCAGAAGACTTTCTCTTACCCGCAAACTGGTTTTGTTGGTTATGTTCTGTCTTACTCAATTTATAGACACCTTGAATATCTCAGCTCTCATATCTGCCATCCCTGCACTTGAGGCGTCCATGGGTATGACTGAAATTCAATCCACTTGGGTGTTTAGTGGGTTCCGATTAACTTTTTCATCATTCCTGCTTATCGTGCGTGCCCATCCGTGAATCCTGACTCGTACTTTATGTAACGCATTGTTTTAGAGTGGCCGTCTCAGTGACGTATACAACCCAAGTTAGTGCTATGCTACTCATACTTGACGTACATGCTGAATGGCTCACAGAAACTGTATTCATCGGAGGAGTGTCCACTCTTGGTATCCTCTCGCTATGCGCAGGGTTTGTTTACTCTACAGTTCCTATCCTCATTCTCAGAGCAATCACCGGAATAGGTGATCATTCTCGCTGGCGTGTTGGTTCCGACTGACGGAGGTCGCTTCCTAGCTTCTGCGATGACGATTCCCTCTGCCCTGAAACTCCTGGTCAAGGTATTTCCAGATCCGCTAGAACAAGCTCGGGCAGTAGGGTTCTTCGCAGGCTGTGGTGCGGTGGCCAACAGTGAGCATCCCGCATATCCTACTAAGACGACCCTCATGATTCTTTTACATAGTGGGCGGTCTTGTGATCGGTGCAATGTTCGTTCAATGGGCGTCTTACCATTGGGTCTTCTGGTTTGTGGCATGCGTGGCTTTCCCGGTGGCTCTGATTTGTATTATCATAATACCATCACAAATCGGGGAGACTACAGGCACTCGTAAGTCTAAAGGGGCGAAATGGAGATCTCTTGATTTAGTCGGCGTTAGCATTTTGACTGGTATAAATCTTTCAATATAATCCTTCTTTGTGTCGCTGATGAGCCTTGATAGTTGCCTTTATATTATTGATTTTCGCCGTGACATCCGGTTCCACTGATGGTTGGAAATCTCCGGTTGTGTTGGTCCTCCTGATCATTTCAATTATAATGCTAGTTGTGTTTTTCTATTGGGAAACACTTTTGCCTGCGGACCGAGTCGCCATGTACGTCAACGGAAATCCTGGCGTCGATTTTTGGCTTATCTTGTACCAGACCACCGCGCACGTGGTTCTATAACAACTTCTCTGTTCTGTTCGCCACTGCACTTCTGCCATCCTTCTGGTGGAGTGGGGTTATGTTTGTTTTTAGCATCATGTGGCAAAATGTGTTTCATTGGTCAGTGATGTCGACGGCCGTCCACATGTAAGGTATTCGCTTTCACTTTATATCGCCAACCATCAACACTTTGCTCTCTAGGTTGCCAGTCGGTATCGTAGCCTTCGCTGCGAGCTGCACTGGATCACTTTCTCGCATCTACAGTCCAAAGTGGATTATTCTTACCGGCCTATCGTTGTGCATGATCGCCACCTTGTTGCTAGCGCTCGGTGGGGGGAAGCCCGAAAACTATTGGCCCTATGTGTTCCCAGCATTTGTACTTGGCAGCGCCGGAGTCATGGTGACTTTTTCACATACGAAGTAAGTTCCAAATAATAGCAGTCTTCCGAACACGGTTTACTTGCTTCATAGCATTGCTATTTTCCAAGCTGCGCCTTCATCCATGTCCGGCACAGTTGGTGCCATGTTTAACGGTGCACTTCAATTTGGATCCGCAATTGGCCTCGCTGCTATAACCTCAATAGAGACATCCGTGGAGGCCACTCATGGAGGTTCGCATGAGTACGCCGGAAGAGCTGCGTCGTTTTGGTTCCTTCTTGGAATTGTTGCTCTTCAATTCATTTCGATATTGACCTTTTACGACCGCAGTACGGACCATAAACCCCAACCAAAGTATGACGATCCCATGTATTATACATCACACAGCACGACGGACTGCGGCGAAAAGCTCGGTGATAGGAATGTAACCACTGCAACTGACGTAAACTAAAGTGTATATTTCTTTGGACAACTTGCCCAGACGAATTTTCGATTACGCACCGCTACTTTCTGAGGTTTGACACTTCACTCGTAGTGTACTTATATGCATGAAGATCTTCACCACAAATAGGGACTTGACCGATTCTTACTGCTTATTGGTCGCAAAACAGAGGTGGATCCGGCAACTGGTAGCGACTCGTGTTGGCTGTTCCGAACTCCTTCAATATATCATCGTCGACCATGGCGGACCTACCATCTATCCCGCGCTGGATTGTGACCCTCGAACGCGGTGGCTCGGTGTTAGTTGCCGATTCACACATTGGGAATGAAGATCAACTGCTTGCGGCAAGTTGAACGCTTGTCTTGTTGCATGTTGAGTCCGGCGACGAACCCCGCCTAGCAGTTCACCCGGGACAGATTGGGATGTGGACTTTGTGATACAGGAGCTTGTAATCTACTACACGTACTTTGGATTCGACCTCAGGAACATTGACTGGTGACTGGCGCGCTACTTTCTTGAGTAAGGGATCAAGGCAGTGGAACAGATGGTGATTATCGGCGAGAGTGGTCATCCATTTGAGCTTGGCCTTCAGCTATAAGCCAACGTCGATGACAGCGTCGATAAAGCCAAAAACACGAAAATATCAACACCTACGTACACCACATCGATTTATTCTCATCCTCCAGGGTAGGTCCAAACAGGAGCGGCTTGTTATACGTGTCTGAGAGCTTAGTGAGGATGTCGAACATTTCTGTGCTCTGGCTGGGATCTTGAAGGTCACGGTGAACGCGTTTAAATCGTGTCTCACCTCAAGTTAGCCAGCTCTTCAGCACGTTACACCCTAAAGAGCTCCGAACTAAGTTTCTAGAGAGCCACTAGATGTCATTATCGCGATTATGGCCCACAGCTGTGTCACGGCCACGGAATGACGGGTACAAATAGATTTGAAGCTGGGCGCTTCAAAGTTTGATTTAGAATTGATTTAGAAAACGCGTCCGTGTCAATTATTCTCACGACTCATTACTTCGCGTCTTCCATGACCTCCACGAGAGCCAAGGACTTCCTCGCTAAAGAGCTGTTTATTAAGAAAAATGTGGTACGAGGGACGTGCACCCTCAACGTCTAACATCGACGCGATTATCTTTGCCAGGTCACATTCCGGTCCTTGAGTCGCGAGCTCGGTATTCACGTCAATGACGCCAAGAAGTAAGATACCTTAATCACTTCGTGTTGAATGGAGTGCTACATCTATGCAGTGAGCTTGCCGCGTATATAGCGGAAACAGCAAACAGCGACACGCCATCATTCGCGACGTACATGGTCTCTGGTCAGATTGCTCCACTGCACAACAATGGAAGCCTTGTTGATGCAATGGACGTCGGTCACGATGATGACAATGCACACCAACCTGTAATGCACTCGAAGATAGTTCTGGTAGACTGCGATGGTCTGCAACGTCCGTGTTGTTTGCTCTTCTACGCGCCCTGATGCTAACGAGAGCGGCGTGCCACAGATGCGAAAGCTCAATTCTCCCGTATACATTCCGTGTATATATACAGCTTGTCGCCTTCAGTCATACGCGTAGGTGCTTCATGCAAGGGCAGACCAAACACACTCATGTTTGGGCAGGACGCTGGTTTGATTTGCCAACCGACGGTCAGTGTCCGGACTACAGACGCAAAGGGTAATCCCGCGCTCAATGGGAAGATAATCGGTGAACACGTGAAGGTCGTTCTCGAATACTTTAGTTCCTCTTCGCGATCTCACAAAGACACAGACCAGGAAAGGACTACCCAAAAATGTCTCTGCAGCATCATCATCAAAGACAACCTTAGATGTGCAGAAGCCAATCGTCCCCCAGCCGTCTGTTTTACCGCGAAAAGTAGAGCAGACGACAGACAAGGGTAAGCAGAACGAAGTGTCAAAAGACAAGGAGCATGCAAAACCACTTGCTGCAGCGAAGGAACAGACCAAGCGGACTGGTAAACTAGATTGGAGTAAGGGCAAGAGTAAGGAGCAGGAGACTACATCAGGAGCACGTGTCAAGGACAAGCCTCAACCTAGGCAGGATACTAAAACTTCGTCGTCATCGGCAAAGTTGGCCGATAAAGCGTCGGGTAATGGTGATGTGGGTCAGCAGTTGATGAAGAAGCCTATCTCAAAGGTGCCTGCAGTCGAACCGAAGGTACGTTGGCATTGTTATTTCTAGGGAGGGTCTATGATTAATCATTACTCGCCTCTAGCGAGCTACTAAGCGCAAATCGCCTGATCCATCAGACTCGGATGTAGACGTCGAAGACAAGCCATCGCCTAAAGACAGGAAGGCGATGCCTTCCGCAATGAGTAATGCAAGAGTGAAAAAGGGTGTCGTGATGTTGGATGACGAGGATGAGGAAGTCCCGAGCAAGCCACACAAAAAATCACTCGGTCGACTTTAGACTCTGAGAGGAGCCGTGCGGCAATGATGGATATTGATGATGGTCCGTTGTCACGGACTATACTTCATGCTATGCTAATCAGCCAGCAGATCAAGTTGTCAGAGCTTCCCGCTTGTCCTCTCGTCGCCCCCGATGATGTGGTAGATGATACTGGTGACGAGGTCGACCAAACTGACGTCGACGCTCTGATATCTAGCCTCGGCGAGGAGGAGGAGGAGGACGTCAAGCCGCCAGACTAAGAAGAGGAAATTCAAGAAAGTAGTCCCGTCGGGCGCAACGGTTTGAAGAAACGTCGCGTCTTAAAAAGTCGCACCACCACCGATGCCAAAGGCTACATGCGTATGTTCAGGATTCCCAATTGATAAATGCGCTATTCTCATGATAGTTCCCCAGAAACGGAAGATTATTCTTCATATGAATCCGTCAGCGAAGAGGAAGCTATGCCCGAGAAGCGAAGAAGAGGAAATCTAGGAAAGTGGTCCCCGTCGGGCGCAACGGTTTGAAGAAACGTCGTACCATGAAAACTCGCACTACCACTGATGCCAAAGGCTACACCCGTATGTTCATCATTCCAAAGTGATAAACGCACCATTCCTCATCAGGTTTTCCCAGACACTGAAGAATACTCCTTCATATGAATCCGTCAGTGAAGATGAAGCTATGAAAGTTGTACCTGAGGATGCAAAAAAGTCCAAAGGCAAGAAAAAGACAGAACCGAAGTTGAAGGCTGAGGCGGGGGACAAACCGGTAACAAGCCAATTCAAAGATCAAGGAGACGAACTCCTTACGCGGGGACTAAAACCCAGGCTGGGAGAGCACCGAAACGTGGTGGTCTTTTGAATTTCTTTGGACCCGACAAGAAATAGCGGTCGGGTTATACTAGGGGACCAGGCAATGTAGTTATGATTTTGGTTATGCAGTTAGGATAGATAGGCGCTCCTTGGATTATGATATCAGGTGGGGAAACGTGACAACGGTTCAGTGGTCTAATGGTTATGATTTCTGTCCACACACAGAAGGTTCTGAGTTCGATCCTCAGCTGAACCACTTTTTTGCAGTTGCTTGGTACAATTCGGTGATTGGATATCTTGTTAGGTAAGGACTGGGTGATAGTGGTACGATACCTTGCGATCCTCGCAAACGGGCAGACACTGTAAGCATAAGTACGAATAAGCATAAGTCGTAAGCTCAAGGTGTGAGCTCCCTTGTAAATATTTAAATCTACCACCAAACAACCCCTTTCATTATTCTCCTTCCGGTTCTAACTACTTTCGCTTTTAAGACCTCACCATCTGCTCCAAAATCTGCTCCCACTTCTACGATGCCGCTCGGATGTTGATTCTGATAAACTCGCTCTCCCCCACCTTCCCGAGACGCATTGACTTGGTCAAATCCCAGGCCAGCGTACCCTCAACTTTCGCAGCAACACCAAGACACAGACCCACTGTCATGGGTACCGCTTTATGCAAGACGCCCATCGAGAAGGCATGAATATCAATGTCATGATCTGTGTTACACGACGGTGACAGCACTGCAATTTTTGGCTGGGCTTGCGTGTCTGGATCAAGGCCCATCTTAATTGCACCTGCCTGTCTGATAGACTCCATCAATTCCCGCGTATTAGGGGCTGAAAAATCAATGAGGGGCGAGGAGCGAAGACACGCGACCACAAGTCTGCATAATGTTTACAAATAACTGTGGGATTCGTGGCGTCGACAAGGGAGACTGGGATTTCTTGGGCGTGTGTGTTCACGGAGTCAAGTGGCTTTCCCTGTCGGAAGTAGTTTTCCAGTACGCGCACCTGCTGGAGAGATAAATTCGAGAGTTATTTGTGAAGCCTTTCCCGGGACCCCTGCCATCGTGGTCTGTGGTAGGTCTAGTTTGGGCTTGTAGGCTACCACCAGAAAAGGGTCACGGGAAACGTAGTATCAATTGTTTTATTTGTATTCGTGTTATGAACTTGAATGGTAGTGGTGGTTCTGGATAGAGCGCAAGGATCTCGGGAAACAAAATCCTTCGTCCATGGCGAATACACCAATCATACTGGAAAAGGTTTCCACAGTTTCCAGAGAGGTCGATGGTGGTATCACGGATGCCCACTTGGACAAAAGTGTACTCGGCATCAATGCCTTGCGCCTGCTGTTCCACAGAGGCTGGGCCAACGACACATATTTTGGACAGGCTTGATATACCGCCGCCCATGCCATTGATCTGGAGACCATTGGCCGTGTCTGGGAGCCCATAACTTCCCCAGGAAGATGGGGCCCCCATTGGGATTGGTCTTCTGGAAGATGAGGCCCTGTTCAAGAATACGCCTTTCGATGTTCCTCCACGGAGGAAGGTGGCTGGGATGGGGTTGAGAGTGGTAAACATCCTGCGTATGTGATGCGACTTGGGCGAAAGGCGAACGGTGGAGGGTAGCATATCCACAAGACGTGGCCCTACTAAGACTAGTTGACATAAGTCTTGAAGATCTAATCTAAAGTCTTCAGTTAGTCCTATCTGGATCTGACCACGTAAGTACTTTATGCTGACTAATTTGTCTAGAATGGTTGATCTGACGAATTTCAATCAGCTTCTATACCCCGCTAGCACACTCATTTTTCTTTTGTAGGAGCGGCTGGGTTCACTTTAATTAGTGAGAAGGAACAGGTCTCCCAATGGTTTTTGCAGGTAGCCTTAGGGCGAATAGCGTGTCTTGCGCTAAACAATTACGCTTGAGTCACTCCCGAGCATTGTACACGACCGCTCCACGATCATCACAGAGCTTGGGTACTCAGATTCTGCTGCCAGGTTAGCTAGCCCAAGACATTTTTCGACATCTCTCGTTACCCCTGCTCGCTCATCTCCTCTTCTATCCTCTCCGCGTTGGTCAGGCAATAATAAACCTACCCTCCAGCACCATCAGAACCTGAGAATGACGCGGCAGAATCGAGTAGCAAGTCTGTCAAGTTTGATGGCGCAGACGATGAAAGTCCAGCAGGCTCATCCGCCCAGTCATCGTCCCCACCGTCTTCTTCTTCTGGTGGAGATAGTAGCGACGGTTCCGATCCACCACCCACCACCTCCACAACCGACACCTACCCCCAGCTCAATAGCTAAAACAATCCGTACCAGAAGTCTATCCCCAGGTTCTTGCTCTCCCAATTGCACGACGTCCCCTCTTTCCCGGTTTTTACAAGGCCGTTGTCGTTCGCAATCCGGCTGTCGTTGCTGCTATCAAGGAAATGATGAAGCGAGGACAACCATATCTCGGCGCTTTTTTTGCTAAAGGATGAGAATACGGATAGCGATGTCATTACGGATATTAATTCGGTTCATCCGGTCGGTGTCTTTTGCTCAGATTACTAGCGTGTTTGCTGCGAACAGTGGTACTGGTGACGACAAGGAAGAGGGTCTCCACTGCTGTTTTGTATCCACATCGTAGAATCAAGATAACGGAACTAATCAAGGCTGGTGAACATACTAGTACTGCTAAAGTGGCAGGAAGAGACGCAAACGGGTTACCCCCTCCTCCCACGCCCACTGAAGGTGATGTCGCAAACATACCACAAGGTATGTCTTTCACAACTCATTGCAACAAGTAATTCATTCGTCCCTCTCAGGTCCTGTTCACAACCTCGTTCCTGCACAAGCATGCCATCTCCATCGTTCAGGTAGACAACCTCGTAACACAACCATACAATAAGACGACCAGTACATTCGTGCCTTTATGTCCGAAATTGTTTTCCGTTCTTCAAGGACATCGCCCAGCTAACCCTCTCTTCCGCGACCAAATTACCAACTTCTCTATCAACCAGGTTGCGTCCAATGTCTTTGATGAGCCCGACAAGCTCGCAGATTTTGCGGCCGCTGTATCCTCTGGTGAGGTTGGAGAACTTCAGAGGTGCTTGAGAGTCTCGTCGTCGACGACCGTCTCCGCAAGGCCCTCCTCGTTCTCAAGAAAGAGCTTATTAATGCTCAGCTCCAGAGTAAACTCTCACGCGACGTGGATAGCAAGATTGCGAAGCGCCAACGCGAGTACTACCTGATGGAGCAGCTCAAGGGGATCAAAAGGAGCTCGGTATGGAATCAGACGGGAAGGACAAGCTCATTGAGAAATTCAAGGAGCGTGCCGCCTCGTTGAAGATGCCAGAGGGCGTTCGGAAGTCTTTGACGAGGAACTCAACAAATTGATGGACTGGAACCTGCTGCTTCGGAGGCGAATGTGACGCGTAATTACCTCGAATGGCTTACTCAGGTGCACATTTTGTCATCTTTCATTTTTTTGTATTGACGCTTGCGTTACAGATACCATGGGGCCAGCATACACCGGAGAACCTACTCCATCACACACGCTCAGACAGTTCTTGATGAAGACCATTATGGCCTCAAAGACGTTAAAGACCGCATACTGGAATTTCTTGCTGTGGGTAAGCTTCGGGGAACAGTCCAAGGCAAAATTATCTGCCTTGTTGGGCCTCCTGGCGTTGGCAAGACATCTATTGGTAAATCGATTGCCCGCGCGCTTAACAGACAATTCTTCCGGTTCTCGGTCGGTGGTTTGACGGATGTAGCAGAGATCAAGGGCCATCGGAGGACGTATGTTGGTGCGCTTCCTGGAAAGATCATCCAAGCGCTGAAGAGGGTAGGGACGGAAAAATCCGTTGGTCTTGATCGACGAGGTGGATAAGATTGGGAGAGGTATCAATGGTGATCCTGCTAGCGCGCTGCTTGAGATGTTGGGACCCTGAACAAAACAATGGATTCTTGGATCACTAGTGGTGTTTTCCGTCAGTTCACTTCTACATGACGTATGTTCATCCTTCTTAGCATGGATGTTCCCGTCGATTTGTCACGCGTTCTGTTCGTCTGCACAGGTGAGTTGTCGGGAGGATATCCCGTGTTGCTCGTACTTACACTTACACATTTTTCAGCCAACAACCTTGACACGATCCCAGCACCTCTCCTCGACCGCATGGAGGTCCTTGAAGTCAGCGGATATGTTTCCGAGGAGAAATGCGTCATTGCCGAAAAGTATCTTGGACCACAGGCAAAGGAAGCGTCAGGCTTGAAGAACGCCGACATTGTCCTCGAGCCCTCTACCGTCGATGTGCTCATCAAGTATTACTGTCGAGAAAGTGTGTGCGGAATCTGAAGAAGCATATTGACAAGGTGGAGATTACGCCAATATATTATATGCATAGCTCACGGGTGCTGTAGATCTACCGGAAGGCTGCACTGAAACTCATCCTCGACCTCGGCGAAACTGTCTTCCCTGAACCAGTCCCAGCTACGGCAACCAGTACACCTGCCCCATCGAGTGCTGCCGATCCTCAGCCTAAGACTGTCGAGTCTCAAGAAACCACCTGCCAACGAGCCTAATGAGGTCGCATCAGATGAGAGTACACATAATGAATCTGGCGACCGCAAAACTGTGACGACACAGGAGCGCAAGCCACTACAGATTCCTGATGATATTCACGTTCGCATTACGCCAGAGAACCTGAAGACTACGTCGGTCCACCTGTTTATCACAAAGACAGGATGTACGTGTCTCCTCCACCTCCAGGCGTCAGCACTGGTCTAGGATACTTGGGCAATGGGTCGGGTGCTGTCATGCCCGTCGAAGCTACTGTCTGTTCGTTTTCTACAATTAGATGCAGATTATGCTCATAGTTCTTCTTCACAGAGCATGCCTGGTAAGGGTGGATTGCAGCTGACTGGTAAACTCGGCGAAGTTATCCGCGAGAGTGCGCAGATTGGGCTTAGTTGGGTCAAGGCTCACGCATACGAGCTTGGCATCACTAAGACGCCTGAGGAACAATTCCTCACGGACCGTGATATCCACGTTCACATGCCTGAGGGTAGTATTGGAAAGGAAGGTCCCAGTGCTGGGACTGCTATTCTATCGGCCTTTGTGTCTCTCTTTACCAAGACGAAGATCCATCCAGACATTGGTACGTTGTGTTGTTATATGAATTTCCCACTGACTCACCTTTGTGTCATCAGCCATGACTGGCGAGATATCGCTCGTTGGCCAAGTGCTTCCTGTCGGCGGTCTTAAGGAGAAGATCTTAGCTGCTCACCGTGCAGGTATAAAGACGATTCTAGCGCCCGCAGCGAACCGCGCCGACATCGAAGAGAACGTCCCAGAAAGTGTCAAGACAGGAATCCGCTTCGTATATGTCGAAGACGTACGGGAAGTCCTGCACGAAGTTTTTCGAGGTCAAGATATTGTTGAGCGGTGGAAGGATACGTTATCGTTATAGTTTGATTCCTCTGCTACATCATTACTTATTCTATTTCGTTCGATCGATCGACAAGAGGCCGATTGATTGATTGCTTTTCTATCTGATTGCGCACTTGCATAACTAGAGTTACTTTTACTTAACAACACGGTATACTGCAATTGCTGTATTTTATACAATAAACCCAACTCATGATCTCATGGCACCGTGATGGTCTTCTGTGTGCGCTTGTTTTGCATTGCGACTAATACAAACTTCTTTTGCGGCTTCCGACAAACCCGACGGTATCGCTGGTTATTTGCATTGTGCAGCGCGTGAAGCATACCTTATCTTCTGCTCGCTTGTGTCCGCTTTCTCATGGAACTCCGAAAGGACATCCATTTGTCTGTTCAAGTGATGTCATGTGCGCCGCCACTGGGGAGATGCTGTTAACTGTGCGTTCCCATATCTTTTCTCCATAGTAGTGATGATAAAGTTTTGGTTCCATCCATGGCAGGAGCCACAGATTGTGCCAGAGTGACTTGAGTCTCCTCTCATTGACATGAATGTATGACGTACATCGAACATTGCAACGATGGCAACACCGCGCGTTCTTGGCAGGCTCATCGCATCTTTCAGCACCTCCGTCAGTCAATTTGGAGAACACTTATCTCTAGTCGCGGTCTAAAGTTAGATAGATGCTTCTCCCGAATTTAGCTCCTTATCGGTCCCTCAATTGTCCATATAATGCAAGTTCGCTGCCGTCGATATTGTATTTTCCACTTGGAAGGTCTCCCTGCTTCGCTTTACATCATGCACGACATTGATGATTCCGTAGTGCCTGGATCAGTCTACCTTGTCGACGTCCAGGAGAAAACGACGGTTGTGCACGCAGGAAATGACAGTGCCATTGTGCTCAGTCCGACGCCTTCGAGTGATATTAACGATCCTCTGAACTGGAGTAGAGGCCGGAAACTTTTGCAGATCGTCTGCGTGATGATATGTGTGTCTTAAGAACTGACGGATGATGTTTGGACTCTTACTCAGTCTACAGACACAAGCGCTATCGGCATTGGGACAACCATGCTGTACTCCATCTTGCAGCCTATTTCCAATGATACGGGAATACCTCTTGCAACGCTTAATGCGGGCACCGGATACAGTGGGCTTGTCTCTATATTTCTTCTCGTGTTTATATTCAACGGTGCCATTTTTGTTATGAACAGTGTTTCTTTGTATGTCGTCGTCATTGTCCCCCATGATCAGTTTTAGATGATGTCGGAATACTAGTCTTAGGCTGGGGAGCGCTGATAAACCAGCCGCTCGCTCTTACCTTTGGAAAGCGTGGTATATATCTGATTTCAGTCCTGGGCAACACTGTAAGAGTTTGTGACCGCAAGATATTGACAACTTAAATCTTTGGCAGGCCATCTGTCTGTTGACGCCGTACATCAAGACGGAAGGCCAGTGGTATGCAGCACACTTTACAGCTAAACGCCACTCATTAATCATTTACCACCAGGATCGCCAGCAAAATCGTACAGGGTTATCTCTGCACTCCTGTCGAGAGTCTGTGCGAAGTCAGCATTGCAGATACAGCAAGCCCACTAAGATCTCTGTCTATTCAAATAAGCTCATTTCACCTAATAGTTCTTTGCGCATGAACGTGGAACGTATATTGGAATTTACACGCTCTTTCTGTTTGGGTCGGTCTTCAGTGTATAAACTTCGACTTATGCTGACCTCGCGAGCAGGTCAAACTACTTTGCACCACTCATCGCTGGTGTGCGTACCAAATTGCACATCAGTTTCTAAGTTTCGTCCTAATTTTTGATCAAGTTCATATATGATGGCCAAGGATGGCATTGGGTGATGTACTGGGCTGCGATCATAAACTTCGGTTCTCTCATAGTGTTGTTTTTCTTTATGGAAGAGGTGCGTCGCATGTGATTAGTACTGATTATTACTTACACCTAAGTGTAGACAAACTTCGTACGCAATACAAGTGAAGCGACAGAAGCCGTGCGCTTCAGTACCAAACCAGGTGCTGAGAAAGACGACAAGGAATCAACTACTTCATCTCCTGTCCCTTCTGGGGATTTGACAGGCATACCTAAAACATATTCGCAACGGCTCGCTTTATTTGGTGGGCGCTATGCGTCAAACAAGCTGCTGCTCACGATGACGTACCGTCCCGTAATTCTGCTGCGCTTCCCTGTCATTTTCTGGTAAGCCGTCCGTCGGAAATGTAGAGAATGCAAATTGACTTTTTCAATAGGGCAGGGTTTCAGTATGGAACATGTCTCGTGTGGTATAACGTCCTGAATGCCACTTGTTCATTGATCCTCAGCGAACAACCCTATAACTTCAGAGCGAGCTTTGTCGGATTAACCTACCTCGGCCCTTTGATTGGCATGTTTCTTGGGTAAATTTCTTCCTAGTTGCCCTCGTAATATCCTCTGACATTGGTGCAGAACATTCTATAGTGGGTGGGTGGGTGATCGGTTTGCTGTGAGATATGCTCGTCGAACGCGCGGTATCCGAGAGCCAGAGCATCGCCTTTGGCTCATGGTTGTTTCGCTTCTTTTATGTCCAGCTTCTCTCATCCTCTGGGGAGTTGGTGCGTCCAAGGGCATCAGTTGGGTCGGCCTCGTCTTTGGCATGGGCATCATTTCTTGCTCAACTGGTATTGGCTCTTCACTTTCTATAAACTACCGCCCTGGATTCATACAAAGACATGAGTGGGGAGGTAATGATGGCTGTCATCCTTGTTCGCGTAAGTACGCCAACTCGTCGCCTTTTGCACTCATACTGAATATGAGTTTTCTTGAATGTAGAATACCCTTTCGTTTGCTATTGTAAGTCGAGACATTTACTTTGCCTTAACATTTTGACGCGTGTTCTTACAGGGATATGGGATCACCCCTTGGCTTTACATGGGTTACCAGAACACATTTATATCTGCAGGCTTCGTCGGGCTTGCTATTACGATGACTTTCCTCATTGTTATCAAGTGGGGAAAGAGCTGGCGAATAGCGAGTCGTAAAAGATACTGGGGATATGTTGCTGATGGTACTCTTGGGCATTAGACACATTAACAAGCCGATTCTCAAAATGCCAAATGTCATTGGCACACCAGAAAGAAAGTTTGCTATGGGCCTCATACGATCTGTCGGAATTTAAAGACCCCTGTGGGGAATCTGGCATGTCGAGACATTACTTTTTGCATGCAGGTGAATGCATGCATGTGCGTACGGAAGGTTCAGGTACTAATCTCCCTGGCACCTCAACAAGGCACCTTTACCTTGGAATCAAATATTGAAGCGGCCAGTATCAACATACATCCGAGTCAACGCAGGAGTTGACTGGCTCGTCTCAAAGTAGGGTTGTACCATTGTCAATACCTGGAATCAGCCAAACGATACAGCCAATTTCAGGTGTTCCTACATCTCCTGTGTAGCTAAGGCGTCTCGAATTTCTATTGGACTAACTTTCATGGCTTCAACTCCTGGCCTCAGAACCGCAACATCGCCCCTAATGTCCTGCGCGATGCCCCTAATGTCCTGCACGGTGGAACAGGGCCAGCGGCCTAAGCCCAGAGAAAGGCAGACAAGCTGAGATGATGATGGATGCTAGCTACGAACATGGTGAAACTTAGTCTACATGCTGACTAAGCTGTGGAAAGGGCCGATAGGACCCTTGGTGCGTAGCTCCTGCCCTTGGGACCCCTGGTCCAACGGTGCTGCTAATGTCCCGCGCGGTGCTGCTAATGTCCTGCAAGGTGCTACTAATGCGCTACGCGGTGCTATTCATGTCCTGCGCGAGGATACAAGTACGATTGTTGTTGTCCATGATGTCCTGGAACGGTTTGTTGATGGCATCTAATGAGGCCCCCCGTCCCAAGACTTTTTCTTTCATGTCAGAGATACCGGATTCTAGGACTTCTAATTTGGCCTCTATGCGGCGGAGAATGTCGTTCCGATCCTGGTAAGTATCTTCGCAAGGTCAACATCATTTAACAGATTCGACGATGCAGCACATACTTGTGTCTATCGCAACCATAGTAGTGAACTCCCTGCAGGCTTCGTCGGGCTTGCTATTACGATGACTTTCCTCATCGTTATCAAGTGGGGAAAGAGCTGGCGAATAGCGAGTCGTAAAAGATATTGGGGATATGTTGCCGATGGTACTCTTGGGCATTAGACACATTAACAAGCCGATTCTCAAAATGCCAAACGTCATTGACACACCAGAAAGAAAGTTGCTATACGCCTCATACGATCTGTCGGAATTTAGAGACCCCTGTGGGGAATCTAGCATGTCGAGACATTACTTTTTGCATGCAGGCAATTGCATGGATCTACGTACGGAAGATTCTCCCTGGCACCTCAACAAGGCACCTTTACCTGAGAAGCCAATATTGAAGCTGCCGGTATCAACATACATCCGAGTCAACTGCGGAGTACTTCGGTAATTACAAGGAGCACACCGCCGCGTTGTTGATAACATGTATTGATGGGTTTGATCAGCGCTGTCTGTAGGCACACAGGAGACTGACATTGGAGTACTTCTAACATAGCCCTCATGAATCTCAGAAGAGGGTATATCATATTGTGCAGAAGGTGAAATAAATGACATGTTTGGCAAACCGAAAACGAAACCCTTAGATAGGAGCATACAATTACAACCTCGAGAAGCCATGGGATGCTGCGGACTCACCGCATAGCATGAGAATAAGGTGGCTCTACAGAACGACTAAGCTTCTTCCTGCTCATCGTCGTAAACTACTATTGCTGAAGTTCTATGAATGCAATCAGAATTATGAGACGAAGATGTCAGGATGTGAAATTACTGTATTTCGGAAAACTTCCTTTTGCCTGGCGCGATGCTCCACATCGAATGGGTTGAATGGGACGCTGCACTCGGTGCCGTATGTGAAACGGGACACACGGGACGACACAAGATGATTAATAAAATACAACACAGCACCATCTGCAATAGCTTTATTGCTAAGCAGCGTCGATGAGCGCAGCGCGAGGATTTTTGTCAGTTGTTGGCGCTCACCAATGGTTGTCCGGTCGACTGAAGCCAATACCAAGCGACTGGAAGTACGCTTGCAATTTGGAGAACATCCAATCGCTCGCAGCAAAGTTTCCGGTGAAAAATACAAACTTCATGTGATATGCCAGTCAGCGCACTTTCCGATTAAGCGCAGTAATGTCAACTTACTGTGACCGGAGTGCCTGCAGCCCTTCTTTGAGTTTCGAAAGCTTCGATGATGCTGCTGATGGAGGGTTCAAAGAGTTTGGCTACGTCTTGTCTTTTTATTAGCAACTTGTTAGATATAAAGGCTGCAAAAAACTAGACGACAAGGCTCACCCACTCAATTTAAGTTGACCGTTGCGAATATCATGCTGAGGATCTCTGTCGCGGATGGTACCGAACTTGATGTACGCCGGGTCTTCCGGGTTGCAGAACCTAAGCTTGGTGGTGCTGTCGAAGATATCTATTATGTGTTGGATCACATCCGGTGTGCCGTAACGACTGCCGGATAGCTTTTCTGTTAAATCAAATGAACAAGGACGCAGCATGGCTAAAACGAACACGCTGGCAAACCTTGAAGAAGACCACGAGCACGACGAGTCACGAATACAGAACCCTGAAGTCGACCTAAGGATTAGAGAGTGAGGCATGGTTCCAACAATCGCATGTCACTTACATTCGGCTGCAGCAATCTCCTCGATCAGCGTCGGGGATAAAGTCATCGACATCGAGTAGGCGCTAAGATCGATTGTCCCTTCTCCTGCATCGATGACAACAACGCCTTGGCCTGGCGAGCGGACACCATCATCAGATGCAAGTATCGGTGTCTTCGACAATGTATCTGAGGCTAGGGTATTATGGACACAGTAATGTAAACTCGCTTCTCCTTCGGTCAGCAAATGGACACGTGCCATGCCGTCTTCTGTGCTGGGAACGAGACCGCCAAGGACGGCAGATAGCCTGATCTGTTTCTGCTGCGGGCCCTCCCAGCCGTTTGGATGTGTAAGGACAAATTCAATGCGGTTCTCGAGTGACCGCCAAAGATGAGATCCGCTTGGATGAGCCTCCTCGATATAGCTGCGTGCACAACGAAAGAGGTATTGCATGAAGTCGCCAAGAACCTCGACGGCATTTTTGCCTCGTGGAAGTGGTGGGATGTCATCGTCGGTGATATGGTTGGCGGCCAAATTCCTGGTTCGAAGGTGCAATTTCCACCTAAATGTTTTGCGTGGTCAGTTAAGTAAATATAAATTCCAGTATTTGCAAAATAAATCATGCTAGCTTCATCCATCCTTCTTCCTCGGCCCTTTCGATAATATGCTCCTGTTGTGCTTCAGCACCGATAGCACGGACAGTTCCATTTGAATCGTAGTAGAGTATAGAGGGTATTTTCAATTTCCTTCCGCTGTACTCTTGGGCTGGATATCTGATATTCATAATGATCTGCAATAAAGCAGGCATGTTGTATTACAAAAACTGACCTGGTGACAGGCTCGATCTTTGGAACTTCTCCAGGATCAAGTATACAGTAGGAAATCGCACTGTATGTAGTGCCCACGTCGAAGGCAAGGACCAATTTGCGGATTGATCCACGATACGGCTGACGGGGAAGCATTTCTTGCGTAACTGGACAGTGAATGTCGCACATTGCTCACACCGTCTTATACCTCATGGTAGAGGCCGCATGGATGTTTATCCGTTCACAACTTTCACCATCTCACCTACAACGTTTAACGGATGTTAATCTAATATAGGGGTCGCAGGGCGTACTGTTCGTGTCAGTCTCGAGGTCTGGTGTGAGTGATCTGCAGATCCCAGGGAGTGATTTGGCGTGGCTAATTAACCCTGATATGAGAAGTTCCTGAGCTCTCTAGATAGAAATAGTGTCAGACCAAGAGATAAACGGATGATGGATACCTCGAGGCCACCCCACAAACCTAAGCAGATAGGTGCTTCTAGTCAGTGATGCACAAACTACTTATGCCCCGCTCGGGTAAAGAACTTTGTAGCGTCTTCTGTGTAGAATTCGTCAGTGCAAAATTCCACGAAATTGATGGGCTTACTGTGGTGATTAACGTCGCAGAATCGTATTCGTTCCAGCAAACCTGTGCCACTGGCAGCGGGAATATGCTCATGTATAAGTAGACACATAACCATGCAAATCAAGATCTGACGAAGGACTGTCAAGTCCGAGTCACAAGACCATATCAGCGCCGGTGGTGTTGCCGCGAGGTGAAGATTCTAACTTGCAAGTCCCTTAGGCCCCGCTCGGCACCACGACTGTAGCCAGAATCTTGCATTTGGTAATTGCCTCGTGTAGCTATTGTCTCACATTTCACTCGTCCCTTGTTCCGCAATATATTACAACCTTAGAGTGACGACAGCCACTTACTTAGCTTTTAGATCAGCGCGATGACTCGGCTAATAAGCGGGGACATATCTACCAATGACAGTGTGGCCGTTTCTCCCTCTTAGTTATACGTATCTTGTTGAGTTTCACGTGTAGGAAGGACTCGGAGGAAACATAAACAACAATATCTATGCAATCTTGACAGTCTGAATGACATTCGTAAGCATACACCAGCGGGCAAAAATAACAAACAGACGTACTTTAGCATACAACGAGTCTATGACCTTGCTAACTTGCTCCAGAGTCCCAATTGCTGCTCCATACGTATTCTGAAAAAAGGATATGAGCATGGATGGGATGTGTGAAGAGGGGACGCACGTCGGCTTCTAGCTCATCGAACACAATTAGGCATCCTCGTTCCTGATCCAGCACGCCGTGGAACACCTTGTCCAAGATCATCTGAGATAGCCTGGAACACGAAATCAGCTACTTTTCAGAGAAAATTTAATACGCACTTGGCCTCAACGACCTGCCATCCTTGCCCGACTTGTTTGGCAACGTAGTCGATCTCTACCACCGAGTACGGCTCAACGATACGCAGCAAGTTTTGCTGGAGAAGGGTGTCGTAAAGCGCTGCAAGATGCGCAACCCCACGATACTGTCCTTCACCGCCCATGCCGCTGTACGACCTTTCCCGGATGTCATTTGGAAAATGGATCCCGCCCTGATGACAAAGTCACTGCCCTCATTTCGCTGGAGCGCATATCGCTTGATCATGATGGCGAGGATCTCGGATTCTGAGACTATTTCCGGGTAAATCTTGTTCAGTGCTGGCCATAGTACCCACCACCAAGATGCATGGAATAAGATCCAGGTGCTTTGCCTACCATAGCGACCTCTGGAGATTTGAGCGAAGCTTTTTGAGAGGAAGCGGGAGCGCCCTACCTGCGACATATGGCCATACGTTGGGGCAACTGGTCATCCGCATGATAATGCAATCGTTTACGAGGCCCATTCTCCTCAACGGATTTTCTGGTAGATACTAGAAGTCGATGAGATCAAATTTTATGAGGAGTTGTATGAAGTCACTAAGCTCGCGCGCTCAGACTCGGCCTTTGCGAAACCTGAATCTATTCTCAGGTTCAGAAACTATACTAGTCATAAGTGCGAAACTATTTACCACGTCGGGAAGGCCACACGAGCCGATGACGACAGCCGTAAACCAATGAGGTTCAAGTTGTCCAGCTTGTACTTGGCAAGAGACAGAGTCGTGATGGCAATGGCTTGTAATCATTGGCCATCGACTCGGACCTAGACCATGGGCGCAATTCGGATGGAGAAAGGGCTTCTGAATCGGACTCTGAGTCTCAAGGGAAGAACGAGAGTGATGTCCACTCGAAAGGATTTGTTCATGCGGCCGCGCGGAGGTGCCTCGCCAACGTGAGTTAAGAAACAAATGTCTATCTAATGCATCATGAATAGGCTTCGTCCATCGACTGGTAGACTTGTGTCTCATTCTGATCGCTCGAAGTGTTACTGTTAGCTGCACCTGCATCGAACAATGTCTTTTAGGATCTTGGGAGCTGCAGTTAGGGAAGAATAGTACGGAGAATGGGAGAATGGGTGGAGTGCCGTCATCGACATCTTCTAGTAGTGGTAACTCGGAGCCATTAAACTTAGATAAAATAAGCTGGAGATAGTGTTTGAACATAATCAGGATTTGTGACGGTATCGCGTCAGTGGCAGTCACAGGCGCGGCAGGACCGCGTCAATTTCACCTGGCCCTAAGTGTACAACACATAGCTACAAAAGTACATAGACTGTTCTGCTGGTATCAAACTAAAACCTAGTACAGTGTAGATTGATTCAGAACGCAATAGAAAGTGAGCGCGAAGATACTTGACTAAGTTACAGTCAGAAACTATGTACATCATGACTCTGGCAGATGTTTAGAGACAACATCTTCAATAACAACTTGAAGCGGTGAACTAAATGTTATCCAGTGTCCTACTGGCGCTCTTGCAGTCTTGTGTAGCAAACACTGTTTGATTCATTTCCGACGTTTTGATGGGCTTTTAGCGGTGTCCGATTCGGGTGCACTATTGATCAAAAACTCATCCGAGGTTCGCTTTCCGGATGTGCCAACATGGAGTCCAGTGGTGTTGGGTCCCGAAGAGGGGAAGGGTGGCCGAAGCTCCCGTTGTTGAGTGCCGGGAATTGGGACCGATGGCTGACAATCGTTCATTAGGCTGTGCGTTGAAGGTTCGAACTGAGGATGAGAGAATCAAAAGAGATTTCACAAAATGAAAAAAAAAGTCAAACCTGAAGCAAGGTAATAACCTTTGCAAGTTTCTGCACCTCGGATAAAATATCAAGACAAGACCGCAGTCCCTTCAAACACCACTGCCGTTCGAGCCAGGAAAGGAGGTGACGATTGCAGAAAACCTGGAATATATGATCGAGAGAGTTGTCCCATGGATTTAGAGCATGCGACAGGTGAACAACCCAGTTTTGAGATGCATACTTGAGGGCGTCGGAAGATGATTTATTTCGTTCCTGTGTCTCGTTTGCGAAAGCTATAAAGAGAGCCATAGCATGGATGATCTCCCTGTCAGGAACTTCTGGCGATACAGAGGTGAAATGATCTTGGAGTATCAACGCCAGGAACATAGGAAACATCAAGAAATCCGGTAAGCTTTTGAGCTGCTGGACTACTTTAAAGGTTGGCAGTAGAGCCAATTCTGGGACAATGATATAGTTGCTGATTGCTTCCAACGTGCTCGAGAATTCTTCCATAGTCGCCCACACAGACCCCGCAGGAGTGGATTGCCACGCTTGGCCGTGGGGCGTCTGGAGCCAGTTTCGCCCGCCCAGGGTCTGAAGCCACTGTCGTCCACCCTTGGTCTGTAGCCACTGTCGTCCTCTCTCGGTCTGCAGCCAGTTTTGTCCTCCCTCGGTCTGCAGCCACTCTCGTCCTTCCTCGGTCTCCACCCAGTGTCGTCCTCTCGAGGTCTGCAGCCAGTTTTGTCCACCCTCGGTCTGCAGCCACTTTCGTCCACCCTCGGTCTGCAGCCAGTGTCGTCCTCTCGCGGTCTGCAGCCACTCTTGTCCTCTCCAGATCTGCAGCCACTCTTGTCCTCCCTCGGTCTGCAGCCACTCTTGTCCTCTCTCGGTCTGCAGCCACTCTTGTCCTCTCCAGATCTGCAGCCAGTTTTGTCCTTCCTCGGTCTGCAGCCACTCGCGTCCTCCCTCGGTCTGCAGCCAATGTCGTCCTCTCGAGGCCTGCAGCCACTCCAGTCCTCTCCAAGTTGGCAGCCAGTTTTGTCCTCCCTTGGTCTGCAGCCAGTTTTGTCCTCCCTCTGTCTGCAGCCACCACTCTCGCCCCCCCTCAGTCTGCAGCCACCACTCTCGTCCACCCTCGGTCCTCCAACCAGGTCTGTCCACCCTCTGTCTGCAAGCCACTCTCGTCCATCCTCGGTCTCCAGCCACTGTCGTCCATCCTCGGTCTCCAGCCACTGTCGTCCATCCTCGGTCTCCAGCCACTGTCGTCCATCCTCGGTCTCCAGCCACTGTCGTCCATCCTCGGTCTGAAGCCACTGTCGTCCATCCTCGGTCTGCAGCCATTCTCGTCCATCCCTCGGTCTGCAACCACTCTTGTCCTCCCTCGGTCTGAAGCCACTCTCGTCCATTCTCGGTCTGAAGCCACTGTCGTCCATCCTCGGTCTGCAGCCATTCTCGTCCATCCTCGGTCTGCAACCACTCTTGTCCTCCCTCGGTCTGCAGCCACCCTGGTCCTCCCTCGGTCTGCAGCCACCACTGTCCACTCCAGGTCTGCATCCACTCTCGTCCTCCCTCGGTCTGCAGCCACTCTCGTCCTCCCTCGGTCTGCATCCACGCTCGTCCTCCCTCGGTCTGCATCCACTCTCGTCCTTCTTCGGTCTGGCATCCACTCTCGTCCTCCCTCGGTCTGCGGCCACTTTTGTCCCTCCCTCGGTCTGCAGCCACTCTCGCCCCTTCCTCGGTCTGCAGCCACCACTCTCGTCCTTCCTCGGTCAGCCACCACTCTCGGCCTCCCTCGGTCTGCAGCCACTCTCGGCCTTCCTCTGTCTGCAGCCAGTTTTTTCCTCCCTCGGTCTGCAGCCATTCTCGTCCTCCCTCGGTCTGCAGCCACCACTCTCGTCCTTCCTCGGTCTGCAGCCAGTGTCGTCCACCCTCGGTATGCAGCCAGTCTCGTCTACCCTCGGTCTGCAGCCAGTGTCGTCCTCTCGAGGTCTGCAGCCAGTGTCGTCCACCCTCGGTCTGCAGCCAGTGTCGTCCTCTCGAGGTCTGCAGCCAGTGTTGTCCTCCCTCGGTCTGCAGCCAGTGTCGTCCACCCTCGGTCTGCAGCCACTCTCGTCCTTCCTCGGTCCGCAGCCACTTTCGTCCATCCTCGGTCTGCAGCCACTCTCGTCCATCCTCGGTCTGCAACCACTCTTGTCCTCCCTCGGTCTGCAGCCACTCTCGTCCTTCCTCGATCTGCAGCCACCCTCGTCCTTCCTCGGTCTGCAGCCACCACTGCCCACTCCAGGTCTGCATCCAGTCTCGTCCTCCTTCGGTCTGCAGCCAGTCTCGTCCTCCCTCGGTCTGCAGCCAGTCTCGTCCACCCTCGGTCTGCATCCACTCTCGTCCACCCTCGGCCTGCATCCACTCTCGTCCTCCCTCGGTTTGCAGCCAGTGTCGTCCTCCCTCGGTCTGCAGCCAGTGTCGTCCACCCTCGGTCTGCATCCACTCCCGTCCTCCCTCGGTCTGCATCCACTCTCGTCCTGGCTGTGTCTGCAGCCAGTCTCGTCCTCCTTCGGTCTGCAGCCAGTCTCGCCCATTTGTGGTTTGCACCCAGGCACACCCGTCCACGGTCTCCAGCCAATATTGTAAATCTGGAGCACGATCTCCCCGAAGCCATAGCATATAGACGAGAACTGACAGTGGCTCTGGTGGCTGAACAAGAAAGGATAGCGAAACTTTTAATTGATGGGGGTCCTCAGGTTGCATAGCTTGGCTCTGTTTCTTCAGTTCTGAGAGCGCATCCAAGAGAGCCGTGCTTTCCGTAATCTCTGTCATCAAGCGGAGAGACGAATGTGCGAGTAGGGAGTGGGGTGATGCGATATCACATACTTGAGGGAGGCCGCAGTTTGAGGGGTCGGAAACATAGTCGCGAACGGATGAGTGATAGATATTCACGGGGAGAGTGCTGTCCGTAGGGATATGTATGACAGACCGTAGCTGCATCAGCGTTGTCTGCACATCCCTGCCCCAACCAGGGCCAAGAAGTGACGAGATTTGGGATATGGGAAGAGGGTCTGCGAGGGCGGCTACGATGGACAAGTGCATGTAAGCCCGCTTGGGGTCGGCACACGTGGAGAGGATATAATCGTATAACTTGTACACCTCCGTTCCTGGTAGCAGCTCGCTCGTTAGCTTGAGCATCAGTTGTAACCGATCGCGGGGATCACCGTCTGCATCCTTGATAAAATTCATCATTGTAGACGCCACGATGAAACGCCTGCCCGCTCGGCTCGCCAGCTTCGAAAGATCATCCTTCGATGGCTGAGGGAAATCAGTATGGCGACTTGCCAGTTCTGCGAAGGAATGCCGCAAGAAAATGTAGATGTCTTTGTCAACATCGGTGCCGTCGAGCGAGATAGTGGTAGTAACACCCCCCCCAGAAGTTTTCACCGGTATTTCGCACAATAACGGCTGCACCTCCTTGTCTTGAAAGGCTTTGCAGATATGCGATTCCGAGCGACTCGTGAGTAGGATGTGTGTCACGGGTAGACCAGGCTCACGAAGAGCTCGTGCAAGGTAAAGGATAAGATCGGTAAGCTCAGGTTCGGATGTGCATTCATCAAGGGCATCGACAACAACGTGAGAGGCGGACATCCGCGCAATCTGAGTTGAAGTTTCCGGAGGGGTTGGAGAAAGAGAGCCTCCATCTGGTCGCAGAGAGACTTGTCTGGGTCTAGTAGAGCAGGATTGTCACGGATAGCTCTGTTCACATCCTTCCGGATGCTGGGAAAATTGGTGGCAAGTTGATAGACAAGAGTCACGAAAAAATACCCAGCCGTGCAACGTTTCGTGTGCTTGCGCGAGAAAAAGAATGTTCCCCCAAGTCGCTTTTCGACGTTCGTCTGTTCTGTCACTTTTAGACCTCTCATCCTCCCAGCTACTGTGAACGCAACAGCAGACTTTCCGACGCCAGCCGTGCCATGCAGCCAAACGAGGTGATTCTTCTCTGTATCATCCAGGAATCCGTAGATGCATTTAAGGAGATCTACCCGGGTCCCTTGCAGACATTTCGGGTGAGGCTGACGTTCACGGGAGTCATATTCGGCACCCTTGACAGCAACTTGGGACAGCTTCTCCCAAGTTCCTTGAAGAACTGTCAAAGAGGTTAGAGAGCATGCGAGAGATAAGAAATGTAAGTACTGACATTGATCGTCACTCATTGACGAAGGTTATGATATACGAGATGTAATGAACCAACTGAAAATAGCTGGGTGCGCTTAGAAATCATCTGAGCGACATTTATCTCGAGGGACGACGTACGAAGATTTGAATGAAAGTGTGGATTTATTAGAGTCCAAATAAGAAGTTGTCAACGGTCCCGAGGCGCGATGAAGATGGGATGGAAAGCTTGCTGGATGGTGGTGGGTGATACAGTTCAAGGACCAGTGCCGGGCGCTCGTCCGCATCACTGAAATTCACTTAGCTTGATATGAGTCAAGTTATACTATTACCCTTTCAACCAATTTTGTTTGGCCGTGGCATACCCATACCGGTGCATTGGTCAAGTGCACGTGACAATGTATGGCGTTATATCTGCACATTTATTATTTGCGCGTTCCGCGGCTTGCGCGCTGCGCGTTTTCGTCAATCCAGAGTGGGCGCGTTTTAATCAAGAGGTTCCGCATTCCCGCACTGCGCGTTTTCGCCAATCCAGAGCTGGCGCGTTTTCATTGGACTCAAAACTCAACTTGAAGTTGCCGCCATGATAATTATGATCTCTACTTTCCTTCAAGCAATTTGAGACTCGGACCACTGCAGTATAGTATTTGTACTGGTACAAACATGAGTAAAACTAACATGAGTACTAGTAAGACTATGGCGAAGGAGGCTCAGGCTCGAAAACCAGTTTCTCTACTAGGAAGCTGCAAGTCTCAGAAACAAATTGTTCGGCGTGCTTGAATGCTGCTCCCTGATCGAGAATCTTGAACATGAGGTCTTTGCATCCTTCACTGACGCATCCAAACTGCAGTTCCTTGAAGCATTTGACGGCGTCGTCGTACGGCTGTGGATTCCTACCATCAAGAAGAAAACGGCCCATACCATTCCACCAAATTGTGTGCCAGTCCTCATTGCAACCAGTTGGGTCTTGACACTCATTCGAGTGCATCAAGATCTTTGGTTCCTCCGCAGCTACGATCCGACGGTGACTATCAAGCGCAGCCTGAACATAAACTACATTCTAAGCAATTTCTGTTAAATAGGGTAGGGTTAGACCAAGGTTATGGCTAGCTCAAGTGGTACATTTCGCACATTTTTAACATTTCTCAAAATGTTTAAATCAAGAGTGGTCCATTTTGCACATTTTGAGACACAGCAGAAATGTGCAAAACAGGGTGTGTCGATTTTACACATTTTGAGAGATGTCAAAAATGTGTGAAATTGACCCCCCATGTTTTGCACATTTTTGCTGTGTCTCAAAATGTTCGAATCAAGGGGCGTCCATTTCGCACATTTTTAACATCTCTCAAAATGTTCAAAACAGGGGGGGTCCATTTCGCACATTTTTGACATCTCTCAAAATGTGTAAAATCGACACACCCTGTTATGCACATTTCTGCTGTGTCTCAAAATGTTCGAATCAAGGGCGTCCATTTCGCACATTTTTAACATCTCTCAAATGTTCAAAACAGGGGGGGTCCATTTCGCACATTTTTGACATCTCTCAAAATGTGTAAAATCGACACACCCTGTTTTGCACATTTCTGCTGTGTCTCAAAATGTTCGAATCAAGGGGCGTCCATTTCGCACATTTTTAACATCTCTCAAAATGTTCAAAACAGGGGGGGTCCATTTCGCACATTTTTGACATCTCTCAAAATGTGTAAAATCGACACACCCTGTTTTGCACATTTCTGCTGTGTCTCAAAATGTTCGAATCAAGGGGCGTCCATTTCGCACATTTTTAACATCT